TCTGGAAAAAGTAACCCAGAAACAAATGCACAGAGGTGTTTTGTAATACAGGGTTAATTTCACAGGGAAAACAAAAACCCCTACTGCTCTACAGTTTAGGCTACTAAGTAGAGTTTTGCTCATCCTAAATTCTGCATGTGCACTGTGGGCCATGACAGCCTGAAGCTTTCAACTTTGAACATCCACTGGCAGCTTCCCCTGAGGCAGAAACTATCAATTAGGCTATTATTGGAAAAATATCCCTGCTCCTGATATCCTCAGAAACAAGGGCTTTAAAGAAAAATGATAAATGTTTTTGTGTAAGAATTATCATTTTAGTAAGATGCTAGCTCAACAGCTTGAATCTTTTTAGATTTCACATTTGCATAGTAAATTAATACTGTTCTACATTCTGCCAAATCAAACCTGTTTAGATACTTGTTAATTCCTTTCACAGCTGAATGCTTTACTCATTCAAAAGCTTATAAACAGTTAATAGGTTTTCCCATGGTTTCCTTAAGCTAATGAGAGTTTATTTACCAAGAGGCAGACCCTAAGAAGTAACCAAAGGCCTGATAAAATATTCTAGTATGATTGTTTGGTGAGCATTTTATAGGTTGATCTTTCAGAGCAATAAAAAAAAAAAAAAAAGCCCGCAAGCAATTAAATCTTCCTCTCTAATTTCCCTTCTCTGGGTTATTGAAGAACAGATTTCTAAGTATCTTAAAGCAGCCCAACAGGGCATATGGGCTCAAGTATGTGTCTAATATCTCAGAAGACAATATTTTTCCTTGCTAGTCAAACATCTTAGGACAATGGGCAATTGACTATATACCTATGTATTCTGAAATGTTATGCATTTTCCTGGTCAGTTCTTCAGGTGAAACTCTCACGTTCTCCTTAGGTTTTTTTTATGGTCACCCATTTGGGCTAAAGGACAAGAATACAGCTTCAGCTGAAAGGAGTTGATGAATTTCTGTAAAAGTGCTTCCCAATGCAGCTTGTGGGGAATCTGTGCCCAGGTTATGGCTGGGAAAGTAGCATTTCTGGACCTAAGACAGCTCAGGCTCCAGAGGCTGAACCATGCATCAATGAATCTGCTCCAAACATCACTGAAAGACGGATTTTTGTCATCATGCTCCGTTCATTTCCTACTGTTGTATTTTCATGTCGTGTGTCCCTTTCTCCCCACGCTCCCAATCAACAAAATTCAAGTCAGAGGTCTCCAGAAATGATTTTTTTTTGGTGAATGTTCTCTCAGTGTTGGTGTGAAATACTTATAAACCTCTGTCTACAATATATTTCTTACTCTAGCCTCACCTGAACCTGCCTGTAATACAGTAAAGTTGCTGTGTGAAGTTTGCTACTGCAAGGTCCTCAGGTTTTGCCACAGAACAGCCACAAAGCTGCTTCAGTGCTGAATGAAGTGTCAGTACTCGAAGTAGTTGACATCTCAAGTAGCTGGAGAGGTACTTTGAAAAGCATTCCTACACGTAGGAAAACTCAAATTAGTCTGGAAAGTACTCCTTCTCTGGACATTAATGACCTCTTGTGTAAATAGCACCTAATTATACACCGAATTAGGTGGAAGTGTGCAGAACAATAACCCTTTTCCAAAATGCTTTACAAAATCTGTGCTTGTTTCACTAAGGCTGACTGTGGTAGAAACATCTCCACCAATTCACACTGTCCTTTAGGTCATGACTTGGTGGCTTTCTGTCACTGAGGAGCAAAACAAAGGAGAGACATTCCCCTTCCTGCCACCTTGAACAAGAAAAATGAGAACAATGCATCCCTTCACTCTTGAAGGCTTAGATATAAATTTTAATTTTAATCATTAAGCTGAAACTTAGTCCTTGTCCTGAGGTTAGAGATTTTTCCTTTATGCTTCCTTTGGAGTGATTCCACCTCATTCTGGAATATCTTATTTTCCTGGTTTTAAGGTCCAGAGCTTTACAGCCATAATGTCTCTTGCTTTTTTAATACACACATTTAATGCAACTTCAAGTCCCTGTCTCTGGAACTATCAACTTTAATTCCCAAGGAAGTGTGAGTTCAGGGCATTGGGAAGGGGCAAGGAGAGCAGGAAAGGAGTGGTGTCATTGGCCCTGCAGGGAAGGTGAGAGGATGGTGACCACAAGGCAGTATCTCACTACTGAGCTCTGCCTCACCTGATGCAGCCAGTTCCTGAGACTCAAGACCAATATTTTCTAGGGACCTCCAGGGTCATCCCAGCTCCCTCAATAGCACATGAATCAAAGGCTGAATATTTGCTTTGCTCACGGCAGTGTGGCCTTCAGGACTGTCTGCTCTCATTCTTTAATGGACATTCATCACCCGATCAAAGTCATGGGGTGGTTTTATATCTGGCTGTGAACGCTACCCACGTCTGTAGTTTCAGCAGGCTTAAAAACAGGCTATTCATATAGGCTGGCAAACAATTCCTCTGAATGTTTAAAAGAAGGCAAAGTTATTGATGATTTCTGGCTATTTTCAAGCTCTCTGTATTTTACCTGTAAGGTGTGTTTTTCCCTAGTGCTATGCTTTCAGGAGTGTTTACCTTTCTCCAGTGATACACTACTACTACTTGCTGTGTTTGCATTCTTTTTTGGCACATACATTTTAATTTAGGAACAAACCCCACTAACTGTTCTTCTTTTTTGAAAGCAAGTTCAGTTTCCAGGCTGGGTATAAAACTTGTCAGTCTGTCACTGTAGGTCCGCAGCACCCCACCCACACAGCTCCTTCCAAGTCCTCACTCCTAAATGGAACCAATTGTTCAACCCTGTTTATAATCAGAGCAATTCCTGGAGTGTTTCCTGAAACGTGACTGTTTTAAGGTCACTTGGGGGTTTGGCTTTCTGCTCTGATGTATTGTAGAACAAAGTATGAGGGCTACCTTTATAAAGGTGTGTTGCAGCACCTGTGTGTTGGTGCTTGGGCAGGTGGGATCTGTGCCATTGCCCATCTCCTGGAGTCTGGACCCCCATGTCAGCATGGCTTGACACTCAGGGACTTTGGATCAAAGCCTTCCCAGTGACAGAGCAAGGTCCACATTGCACATGAATCCAGATGAAATTCATGCTGCCCTTGGACTGTCCTGCTCTAACAGTGATGCAAATCTTTCACTATGGTTGATCTGATTCACATCTTCACCTATGCACTCCTGAACTGAGTGTTTGGATTGGACATGTAATAGTAAAAAAAAATATTTCAATTGCTTTTTGGTTATTTGGTGGAGTTTGCTTCCAGTTTCCTTCTGGTTGAATAACTAAGTGAAGTTTCAGCTCTTGTCTGCTGACCAGACTTGGCAGAGCAGCAAGACCTAGTTAGTAGCTAGAGCTCTGGCAGCACTACAGTGTAGAAATCACTTCCCACAAGGGATTATTTAATTGGCTTTCTTGCTAACCTTTTTCTGTAGGAAGGCGTTTACATGACAGCTCGTCCATCAGGTGTCTGAGGTCAGCTGTCTGCTTCTGAAATGCCTGTTTTTCTCCTGTGAATGTAGAAAAGGAATAAGTTATGCTGGTAGGATCCCTTGCTCAGTGGCTGTGTTTGCACAGAAGTTGATAGGGCCTCTGGAGATCACCAGGTTGCACCTCCTGCTCAGAGCAAGGTCCCATTGGCTAGGGCCACATATCCAGTCATGCTCCAGTCATGCTTTGAGTATCTCCAAGGATAAAGACTCCACAGCCTCTCTCAACTTTTGCTGGGGTCTGACTACCCTCAGAGAGAAAAAGGATTCTCTTTAAGCAGAATTTCTTGTATTTCAGTTTGTGCCCATGGCTCTGTCTTCACTACCCTCCCCATCATGCATTTAAGATGAGATCCCCTGAGCCTTCTCTTCTCCAGGATGGGCAGTCTCACCTCTTGCTCTCTGCTCACACAGCAGTTCCCCAAATCCATTCTACTTCCCTGCACTCACTTCACTAGGTCCATGTCCCTCCTGTACTGGGGAGCCACAAACTAGACCTGGCACTCAAGATGTGGCCTCACTAGTCCTGAGAAACATAGAAACAGGGTAAACTGTTGTATATCAGATACCTCACTTTTGGGATCTTTGCTAATGGGTGTGATAGAAGTACTGACACTGCAGTAGGAAACTAAACTGTCTGTGGAGCATTTCTGCAAAGCAGTAGGGGCTGTAGGTTTTGTTTCCCCTCCTGCATTTCCTTTTACAAGCTGCTGTGCTTCCCAAACAGTGTTTTCTAAACACAGCTTCTTGAGACATGTTCTCCAAGCAGCTCAGGGGTTGTGCTCTCTGCCTCAGGCTCAGGGCCACCTTTCTAAAAGGGCTGAGGTGAGAGCAGCCACGTTCTGTGAGCAGCAGTCGGCCTCACCTTGTGGCAGCACAGCATCTTGGGTTTCTCTTTCCTTCCTGGGTGGATGCTGCAGGCACTGGGCTGCCTTGTGGCTGCTGCCAGCTTGGATGGCCCCAGGCTCCAGTGCAGCAGGACAGGGGAGTCACAGGGAGGTGATGCAGACACTGACCTGTCTGCACAGCACAGGACAGAGAGGAGAGGCTGCTGGGTGTGCGGCTAAAATAGTGGTGATTTGTTTTCAGCTGTATTTGGAACAGTCCCCAGCTGTTACCTTTGGACTCCCTCTGGGTGCTTCTATATATAAAAGCAATAAACCATCTTTTTGTTTGTTTGTTTTGTTTTGTTTTGTACACCATCGCTTGATATCCTGTCATCTATCCCCAAGGAATTTATTTTTATGCTCTCCATTAGTTTAGTGACACCCCATCCCCCCCCCAGGTTTATATTTCTGCTCCCAGGGGTATTTTGGTTTAGCCTCGTTTGCTGAATCTCATAGATCTGTGCTTCTTCCCTGTCTGTGGTGTCTTCTGGGAAATGTAACTTTAATTTAGCTTTTTATTTTATTTGTCAAAGGAGAGACTGACTGTGGGGTTCAGTGCTTACGCAGGAGCAGAAGCAACAGTAAAGCTGATAGGAATCACAAGACCCTGTTGAAGTCAGCTGTGGATGGCGTAGCACTGCGGGAACTCACTCCTTCTGTAGGCTCACCCAGTAACTTTAATTATTTTTTTTTATAAATATATGTACATTTCATGTTTCATCTTTCCTCTGCTGTGTCACAGAGCCACAGGCAGCTGAGCAGTGCCACCAGTGGCACAAGGTCTTACACAACAGCCTCTATTTTTAATAACATGAAGTTGATTAGGGATTGCAGGCATCACAATACATTGTTTCAGACATGATCACTTCCACATTTCCTTTTCCTCAGGGAAGAGCTGAGGTTTCTTTCCATTAGTCTGCAAACCTTTGGTTGAGACCACACTTCATGGACAGCAGATGTTCCACTCTTGCTTGAGTGCCAAAGGATTACATGGAAGATCCAAAAAGTGATGCTTGTTCTGGCCCCCAGCAGATGGACCACATGTGCTCAGGACAGCTTCCCTGTGGAGGCAGCCAGCGGCTGTCCCCCATTCAATCCCTCCATCCCTGTGACCACAAAATACAGGACTGAACACATAAAATAACATTGCTGTGGTAAGCAAGGATGAGGAATCTTATAGAAGTTCCTCCTCTTTGGCTTTTCAAAGAAAATTTGTAGTTCATATTGTACAGTAAGAAAATTGCAAGAATAACAGGAAACTTATAAATGTAGCACTGAAATGACAAGGTCAGTTTTGTCATCCTGGATCCAACAAGTACAGCAGGGGCAAAGCCACCCTTCCCTGTGCTCCTCCCAGCTTCAGAAGAGCAAAACATCTATGAGGAATGGTGCTGGCAGGAGTTTAGCTTTGTGAAAATAGAGAGATATGAGCAAGAAATCTGATGAGAGTGACTTGTTATTTTTTATATTTGACAGACTGACTTCTTCACATCCTCTCTGGGAATATCATTTGGCATCCATCTCCATGGCTGTTTTTCAGATTCACACTCCATACCAAGATTGTCCAGCTCTAGCACCCACAACTTCCCTGAAGCTCAGCATTGCAGAGTCCATGGCTTTCACACTGTTCCTCTTTCCATAAAAGCCCTGTTTATTTCTCCAACCACACATTTGTATTTTAAGACCTTGTGGTTTATGACCCGTCAGGATTAAAGCCAGCAACGCTTCCAGCATTGCTGCTTTGCCTTCATGTGTATCTCAAAACATGGAGGGAACATCTGCCAAAGGAACTAGAGGATTTATATTGGGACAAGCTGATTTGTAGGGTGTAATCATAACCTACAGCAGAGAGTCTTGGAAAATGCCAGGAGCAGGGTCCAAAGTAAAGCTCACTGAAGGGCTGTGCAAAAGTGACCTAACTTCACATGCAGTTCTGCAGCAGCTGAAACTTCAGATTGGTGTGAGGCATTGTCTTCTACATGGATGGTCTTCTCTCCTACATGGGATGCCAGAGAGGAGAGAGAAGTCATCACCACCTCAGTGAGTGAAGGAGAAGGACTCTTGGTGCCACTGCAGCTCTGCTCATTGCAGAGGAAGTGGGAGGCAGCCTGGGAAGGACTGGCTCCATACTGGGACCTGAGGTGCCACCTCCCTCAGCACCACTACTGCTGCCAAACAGGGCTGAGGGAGGGACCTTCCTTCTGGGCTAGCTTGTATTTCAGAATGAAATTTCCCAGCAGCAAGGCAGGAAAGGAAGGAAATCTTATTTTCCTATAAAAGGATTCCCTGCCTATATCCTGTGTATAGCATGTGACTGAGATGATAACGGGGCAGGAGGGGGAGAATCCTATAAAGCGTATTACAGGGTGGGAGGCTTTCACTTCCTTTATTTTCCCCTCTGCCTTTGTTATCTCCAGCCTTCAGATATATCCCTGGAGCTACTCTGAAGAGAAAGACAAGTAGAAGAAAGCACTCCAACCACATTGACACAACTCCATTCCTTCAGCAAGCTATATTTTTATTTTATAGTAATTTGAACAGCAGAGAGTTTGGCAATAGTGACCACCTCAGAAGCGTGCACTCTGCATTTGTTTGTGTGTGTGTGTGTGTGTGTGTGTGTGTGTGTGTGTGTGTGTTTCCAGCTTGGCTCAGACTTGATTGCTTGGAAGACCTACCACCATGCTGCTTTTCAACACAGAAGCAAATTGGAATACCTGTCCCATGGGCAGGATCCTGTCGTGACACCTCCAACCTGGAAGCACAGGGTGTGTGACCCAAACTGAAGGGGTTATTACTAAACACTGGACTGAAAAGAGCCACTGACATCTTATAGCCAAAAGCCAGAAAAGCTCTGTTAAACTGCCAGGGTGACCTGCATTTCTTTCCCACCATTGCTGGTTTTGTTGGGATTTTTTTGCTTTGTTTTATTTTTTGTTTTGTTTTGTTTTGCTTTTTTACTTTAAACCTCTTCTCAGTAAAAAATCACTGAGGTCAGACCTTCAGGTGGGCATGACTATATTGGCACAAACAGTGCTCAGCAGATTTATGTTTGCCAAGAACCAGCAAAGACTGGACTAGTTCATCTGGATTCCCATCATGTAAACAGATCAGGTCATTCCTAAAGCTGCTGTAGTGAGTTGTCCCGGGGCTTTTAAAAATATATGGTTATTTTTATATAGCAACATACTCCCTAAGAATATTACATTTATGTTATTTATGTAATACATCTATTTCTAGTAATATTGTTGATTAACTATGCTCCAAGTTTTTCCTGCTTTCCCCTTGATACTGCAGCACAAATAAAGTTTTGATGGGCATTTTTTTTCAAAGGATCTGGCAGTGGGTCTTGCTCCCCCACTGAAGTCAGTGAAACTGGCTTCTGGCTGGTGAGAAGAGGACCAAACATGCCTGTAACTTGCTGATTCATTCATACATGTAATTTGACTAGTCGCACCCTGGTACCCTGCCAAATAAGCCCAATTGCATCTCTCAATGCAAAGCAGGAGCAACTCCCTCTGCTCGTTGAGACAGGACCTTGATCCTCACAAGGCTGAACTGGAACACTGTGAGGAACACGGAACTCTCACAAAATGCTGCCAGGGCTTATGGGAAGCAAAACAAGAGAAGAAAGCAGAAACTGCCTATACTGGTGTCCCAAGAAAGCTCAGCAAAATGGGAAAAGACACTCTGGACAGCCTTAGGCAGCCGAGGCAGCTGTGTGCCAGGCTGGACTGCTGGTTCTTTGCTGGAACAACTGAGCTGTCCTAATAAATTCCCTGTGTAAAAAAATATATATCTATGAATTGTGCCTTAGGAAGAGCAGTGCAGCTGCAAACAGGGCTGGATGTGGCCAAAGGAAATGCTCTAGGGCTCTATAACCCGACAGTGAGCCGTGGCGAATCTCTTTGCAAAGGGTGACTCTACGGAGTGAACACGTGCGTGTGGGTGTGCAGATGGACATGGAGGTGTACACACAGCTACAGCTTCATCATCCTGCTGCCCAGGGTGGAGACCGGGCTGGGAGAGCAGGGGGAGGCCCCGCCGCTACACAATCATGAACTGGCAGATGTAAGGCAGCTGTTCTCGGCACCTCTTGTCAAACCACTTGCCATTGGCGGTCCCCGACAAAGCCGCACAATTTTCCAGCTTGCCGCCGTCGGGCTGGGTGGTGATTTCAGTCTCCCAGTTCTTGTAGCGGATGGGGCTGCCTGTCATGTCGACCCACTTGCCCTCCATGGCCATGTCGTTGAGGCCCAGCCAGATCTCGGCCTCCGAGCCGATGCTCTTGCGCATGTAGTCATAGAGGGCATCGTTCTCCTCCCCGTTCTGGGGCGTGCTGAGCGTGCCGCCCTGAGAGATGCAGTTTTCGCTGGCCTCGTGGTATGTCTTGGTCTCCAAAAACACCAGAAAGCATTTCAGATGAATTTTGGTGCCTTTCAGGCAAACTGAGAGGTTACCACGCAAACAGAATAAAAAAGATAGAAAGAGAATTTGGTTTTAAAACAGTACCCAGGAAGAGGCAGCAGCAGCAAATGCAGCGGCCGAATTCCAAATTTTCTTAGGCTGCACAATGACCCTTAGCAGCACAGGATTCCAAGTGCAGGGTGGGACACAGTCATGGGGATGTGCCCTCTCCCTCTGCAAATCATTGGGTGAAACGGATTTTCGGGGTGCCCCTGCCACCCTTCTGGGCTCTGCTGCTGCTGGAGCAGAGGCACAACGTGGTCCTCCTGCACCTTCCCCTGGCCTTGTTCTTCCCCAGCCAGTGCTACTCCTTCTGTGATGAATTTGTTGGAAATATGGTTTGTCATGGGCATTGCCGGGTGTTGAAGTGTTTTGGGAAAAAGCCTGCATGCCAATTAAATCATCTTAATTATGCAAGAGGAAAAAAAACGTCTTTTTTAATAAGCTTTGATCAGAAGTGTTGCGCTTGCATAGCTCGAGGTCTTCAGAGGAAATTTCTACTTGCCTCTGATTTTAGTTTTAAGGAAATAAATTTATTTTGTTTTTCTTTAAGCTCTAAACCTTAAGAGTGCAGGGTACTGTAGCCAAACAATACCTAATCAGAGCCACACATTAATATCCAAACCAATTACTTCTCAATGAATGTGAGCTTGGAACTAAAGCTTTGATTTTGCTTGTGTTCCTTTTCTTTTAAGGAGAAAAATCTCCTTAATTTGCATTTTCATCTCATTTCTGCTTCATGTTTTGCAAATCCTACTCCTACTGATGTCAGTGAAGTTTGCACAGAACAACTATGGAGCACATCTGGAAGATGGACATTTTGGGACTGTCCTCTGTGTATGTTTAATGAAGTAGGACTGACCCGCAGTGCAGTTCCCTGGGCAATACCATGGTGTGTATAAGAGACCAGGTTGCCATTTCACTGGGGCTCAGACAAAAGAGTAAGCTGCATTTGGTTAAAACACAGACTAAAACAAATCCCAGCCCTCCACCTCATAAAGGAAAATTAACATCTGGCTTAGCAATCACAGGAATATCCAGATGAGAAGCACATAAAGAGGGGGGCCCACACACGGCACAGCTCCTGGCATTAACTGCCCGAGGAGGTTCACCAGCCCAGAGGAATTGCAGAGACCCACACTCTGCTTAGATCTCCACCCTCTCTCCCCATGGTGGGCTTGTTGCTGTGGGGTGCTTGGGCATCTCTCATCAGGACATGTGGAGCAATTGCAGCCACTTTACGAGCAGCTCCTCTCTCAAAGTAAAAGTTGTGTGCTCTTCAACAAACCCTTTACCTGTCTGGAGCGCTTGCTTTTCCTTCAGTAGAGCAACCTCCTGAGAGATGTTGTCAATCATGGCCTTCAAGTCTTCAATCATTTTGAGGCTCACACCATCTGTTGGAGAAATCCGAGAAAGAGCACAAATATTGCTTGTATCCCAAGGGAGGCAACCAAATCTGTTCCTATCATCAAAACTCCATGTTTCTTTGCCCTCAGAAGAGAATAAACAAAAGGAATGTATGAAGTCAGCACCTGTGTCCCCTTGCACATCCATCAGAGTGCTGTTTGCTTGCCAGCCTGGTTCCACTATGAGTAACAACCTTTTTTTCCTGGTTCAGGTTTTGGGACTGTGGACCCCACGCGTCTTCCAGCTGCAGGGGTCATCCTTTGGGTTGGCAGTGCTGGGGAAGATGTCACATGCATGAGCACTCTTATGTGCAAGCTTGTCTCTGGCACCCCTGTGTAGAGCAGTCATTAAGGGTGGTGCTCCACTGGGGTTGAGCTCCCAAAATGCAGGAGGACACCCCTGCCTGAACAGAAGTCCTGACACACACAGAAGTTCTATGGGCAACTTGAAGCTAATGATGAACAGGATCTATTTGTTTCAGATTCCTCAAAACATGCTCTCTCTCTATTCACAGCACACCCTCCTGGCTTCCCTTAAACACCCTAACACATTATGTTCTCTGTGTGCACTCCTGGCTGCACCTACCTCTTGTCTGCTGTCATTGGTGGGTTAAGTAGGAAAGCACTTTTCTCAGCAGGCTGATGCTCAGCAGGAAGGGGCTGGAAGGGTTGCAGATCCTAACTCTACTAGATCTGCCTCTGCACCACCAGCCACCAGCCTCTGCCCACCAACCACACCATCCTTTAGACCACCACAGCTGCCTCTGCCCATCTCTGCCTTCATTACCCCCAGTGTAGGTACTCAGCACTGTCCAAAGCTGCTCTCCTGCTGTGAGAAGACACCTCTTTGGCTGGAGAGGTGGCTCTTAAAGCCTACATCTTGCTAGGTGTGCTGCTTCTGCAATTGCTCCAACCAGCTATTAATTGGTACTTGGATTTCTCCTAGACAGGAGCAAAGGGACCATTTACATCTTGAAGGTGGTGGGAGATCAGACATTGAGGCCCTTGTATGCATCCGGTAGTCCTCGTTTTGAAAGCATCTAGTAGTTCTGCTGGAGTGAAAGGAAAGGGTACAGTTTGCCCATGAATGCAGTAGGAGGAGCTTCCTTGAGGGCCAAGGATCTGAGGCACCAAGGCAGGCAAGTAGGGAAGCAGCCTGGGTGCAGATCAAAACCACCAACCCAAGATTACATGGTGCCATGAATATGAAAAGCCAGACACATCAGGAAGAGAACATTAAGCAGCTTTACTCATTGCTCAATTAACTTTAATGGATTCACTTAACACTGAGGCACTAGATATTATTTTGCTGCCTTTGATGAAAACACTTTGTGGGAAATGGCTAATTAATCATGGGGTTTTTTCCTATGCATACCTGTCTTGTAGCAGAAAAATGTTCTAAGGTTTAAGTAACATCCAAAGGGCATAGCAGGACACTGCCAATGAGTCTTGCTAAGAACTCCTTACGGTGTTCCAGCTGGGTTTGCTGGTGAGTTCCCACCTTGAGGGTCCCTGCCATGAAAGGTGACATGTCTCCTTGATAACTACCTAACAGCCCTGTCCATTTTCAGTACCTCACTTCCAAATCCTGGTCCACAAGATGTTCCTACAGAACTGCATTCACTGGGATATTTCACAGAGAACCAGGACTGGCTGACTCAGCCTTCAGCTATAAAGTGAGGACCATGGCTACATCAACAGACATTGTGTTGTCTCTTTTATTGCCACGGGTTTTTGTCTCAGTGCTGTCATTGCCTCAAGGCTCACCTCCTGAAGCCTGGGATCAAACCTGTTTACAGTCTGGGTTTTCTGTGACGGAAGCCGTGATCCCGTGGGAGCTGGAGTGGGTCCCTGTGCAGGACCATGAGCAGCAGGATTAAGCGTGGGCAGAGGCAAGATCAAAAGGAGACTCACAGAACTGTGTGTCAAAATAGTCTGGTGGTTTGAAACCCTGGCCAGGAATGCATTTAAAGCTGCAAGTGGGAACTCTCACCTGTTCTAATTATATGCTGAATAACAAACAAATCCCTCTGTTCTTAATTTTAATATCTTAACTATTCCTGTATGAAATTTGGATATTTATATATGTTTCTTAGCCTTGCCTGGAGATCCAAACAGCTTTCTGTCCCCCAGAGGAATGACTACTGATCTGATTCACAATGTCTGTCCTCAAAGCTCTCTGGCCACCAGAATTTCTTCCGACACCAGGCATTTCTTCAAAGGTAGGAAATGGAACAGTCAGGTCCCATATTGCAGTCTGTCCCTGGATCAAAGGAGGAGAGTGAACACATCCACTGTATTTACAGCAGTGTAAATATCCACAGGCATTTTCAGGGAAGAACACCCAGACAAGAATACGCTGAAATTTTAGGTAGTAAGTGGCATTAGGCGAGAAGCCCGAATTACTCCCTACCCACTGAATTAAGCATCCAGACTCTGACTTCTGTCTCCAGGTACCTTAGAAATACATGTGAGAGCTACACAAAGATGCTCCCTTCCATGATCCCAGCACCCCACCACCTGTGATTAAGGGGATCTCCCCCGGGCTGATGCCTGCACCCTCAAGGTATGGGGTATCAACGCTGCCCAGGCAGGGGTGCCAGTGCCTGCCTCCCCTGGGCATTCTTTTGGATGAGACCTTCAGAGCTGCCAGACAAGGGCAAATCCCATCCATACCCCGAGACATTTGGGCTCAGGGAGAGTTTGCTGAACTACTGTGCTTAGAACAATAACTGGGGAGTACTTTGAGGGGCAAAACCACAACAGCAGGCAAAGTGAATGTGCTGTCTCAGCATTTTCTAAATACTGTGGTTCAGCTTTTTCATGTTGAAATAGCATCATCTTTCATTCTGAAGCAGATCCAAATGTAAGCAATAATTACAAAAAAAAAAAAATTAAAAAAACAACATAAAAAACTTGGCTTAAACCAATGCTTTCTTTTCTAATGTTTGTGGTTTGGTTGCATAGATTAAAAAAAAAAAAATCCAGCCAAACACTCCAATCCTCCAGTGGCTTTGCTCTTCCTGACCCTCCCAGGCAAAGTTCAAGGATAGATGCCTGGATGAGGATGAGATGGGGCCATCCTGCCATTGTTCAGAGCAGAAGTGTCTGAGCCCTGGCCCCTGTGGTGGCTGGGATGTAGAGGCAAAGAGGAGCTTCATAGGGGATTTTTAGCATTTTTCTCCCCCTTTTCCTACCCTCTGGCATTGGTAAAAATCTGAAAAATATTAGCCAAGAAATACTGAAAGTTTCCAATAAAGGCAGGGCAGCTGATCCCCTATGGGGCTAGATGGGACTGATCAAAAAACGCCAAGTTGCTGGGTTTTTCCCTTTTCTCCACAAAAAATATGACCTCTCCTTTGAAAAGAAATCATGACTAAAACCTGCCACCAGCTGGCCTAAATGGCTTGATTTTCAGGACACCCCCCTCAAAAGTTTTTAAATCAGAGCCAAATTTTCCTATCAAAGAGGTGATTTTTCTCCCACCTTCTTGTCACTAATTGATTACAAAAGCAGTTGCAATGACACCTAAAGAAAAATAGGATTTCTTTAAGAAATGTCTCTCTCCTGGTACCTCCAGTAAGTGCAATGTATGCCCTATATGAGCCTAAGGGGGTATTTTTTGCTCTGGAAAACAGTCAGACTGTTTTTTCTGTTATTCCATGTCTTCCAGAATAAGATGTGGAATAAGCAGCTAAGTGTGTGAATTCATAGAAAGATCTAATGGGAGAAAAGGAAGAAATTTCTCAGATGGAATCTGACAAAAATAGCTACTGGGTGAGTGTAGACAGCAGACTGGCCAAAGTGAATTCCAGGGATGCTTCTTCTTTGCTCCCCACTTCATTCCAAGCAGGAAAGTGCCTGCCAGGAGCAGTCCAAGACCGCGTGGCTGCGGTCGGACACATCAGGCAGGCAGGCAAGCTCACTTGCTGCTTCCTCACCTCACCTGCCTTCTTCTGCACTTAATGTGCACTGAGTTAAGGATGGGACAGGAGGAAAACAGGAGAAGCAAAGGAGGGAATAGAAAACCCAGGCAGCTTCGTGTGTGCACGGCTGTCTGGCAAGCCTGAATAGTCAGAGCTTGTGTCTGGTGTGAAATACACCCGAGGCCAGCGGTTTTTAAATTAAGAACCCTGTTGATGCTCAATGGCTTGGGTATTTTTTGCCTGCTCTTATCTCCAAAATTGTCTGTCATCTGACACTTACTTGCTTCTGAAAAATGAATGAGAAAGGGTGAGGGGATTTTTAGAAAGGGAGAGTTTATTAGAGGAAAAGCTTGGGATGAACCTTAGAGGGAACACGGAAAAGGCGTTTCCTCTGAAATTCAGACTAAGATGTCCCAACAAATTTATTCAAGGTAGGAACCCACCAAAACCGTTTCAATACCCTCACAATTGTACAGAAGAGATGCACAATCATTCCCACGGAGGAGGGGAGGAGTTAGACGCTCTATTAGCTTTTTCGATGTTTTTTAGTGAAGTTTCACTAAGGCACTGTTAAATGCCCAGACGAGTGGGCTGATAGCAACCCCCCCAAGCCCTGCAAGTCTTCCCTTGCAAGGAAGCTGCCGCTGCCCCTTACCTTTCTTGGAAGCGGCCGGTTTTTGCCGGGCTTTGCCGTTCTGCTGGTCGGCGACCTGGGCGAGGGAGAGGAGGCAGAGGAGGAGGCAGGCTCCGCGGAGAGCCATGTCGGTGCCGTCCGGTCCGAGCGGAGCTGCCGCGGCTCTGCCCTCCACAGCCGCCCGGACACCGGCTGGAGTCAGGAATGGCTGTCCCAGAAAGCCTCAGGCTGAGCCCGGGCCAGCGCAGCCTCCCGGCCCCGGGGGGGCTCAGGCGGCTCCGGCCAAGGCTGAACACCTCCCACAGGGGTTGCAGCTCTCAGCACACTGCTTGTTTTTCTTAAAAAGAAACAAAACAAAACAAAAAAACAAAACTACCAAAAAAAAAAAAAAAAAAAAAAAAAAGAAAAAAAAAAAAAAAAAGGGAATGAACCTACCGTCAGTCTGCTAAGCTAAACATAAGGAAAGGCAGGGAGCCTAGCTGGAATGATTTCCTCTGGCTTTTAGCACAACGCCACGACTTTGATCTCGCGTGTCAGCGATGGCAACAGCACCGCGAGGTCCGAAACAGCGCTTGGGCGGCCGAGGGAGAAGAGAGTAGCTATCGGTCCCCCGCCCCGCAGCAGGGATGCCCGTAAGGGATGCCCGTAAGGGATGCCCGTAAGGGATGCTCGTAAGGGATGTGCCGGCACCAGCAGAGCGGCTGGGGAGACTGAGCACCCCTACATCCTCAGAGGGTAGGGTGGCTCTCACCCCTCTAAAAAGCAGTCCCGCTGTGGCTTTGGTAGAGCCGTCCTGCTATCATTGCTTCTCCATGGGATCTCCAGTGGGACTTGAGATCAGATGTTCCACAAAGCCATTCTCCCCGAGGCCCCTTTGCAGGTTCCCAGTTTGACTTCTCTGAACAGCTGGGCTGTGCTGAGCAGCTCTGCAGCCTAAACCAACACTACTGCGTGTTTTTTTGGATGCTGTGGTTTTTCTGCAGCCGCAGCACAAGCAGGTAAGTCCTTCCCAGAGCAGGAACAGCAACAGTTTGAACAAGTAGAGGAAATTCATGTAGAGAGAGGAGAGGAGGGATGGGCATTTTGGAGAACAAAGTGCTCCAGACATCAGCCATTAACCTTAAAACTTTTCTGATAATTTAAGACAAGATGCCACCCAGCACAATGTGAACCTCTGTAGTTGTAGGAGCATAAAAGGTCCAAGATAACCTGGGATGTGACTGGAAAAAGAGTTGCCATTGAGCTAGTTTGGCAGCCACGGTGTCACCCTGCCTTACACTTCTGCTGAATAAGGAAAATCCTGCCCTGATGTCCTTCCCACCTGAACAGAGAGCTCTCTTGCAGTCCAAGCTTTTGAAGCATAGGAGGAACAGTTTGATTTTTGCTGCTCTTTATCATGTGCCCCAACCCTCACTAAAATTTAAACTGGAAAATACATATTTTGGGGATTTACTGTTCTCCTGCCTGGACTATCTCCAAATGGGATGGATGGAGCCCAAGAGATGCCAGACATCTACATACACATACATGTTTCCTTTCCTTGAAACTCCAAAGTACTTTTGGTAGGTAACTCAGTACCTCCCAGTTTTCCTTGGCTACAGATATGCTTGCCTGCCTTTGCTTTGATTCATGTGCTGCCAAGCTGGAGAAAAAACCAAAATGTTCCCTTTACTGCTGCCCATGGAACAGATTGCTGTGGTGTGGAGTCTGACAGCAATTCCTAACCTCAGATTTCCAATCTGGGACCAACCAGAGTGTTGCCCAGATGAAACAAGAAGAGCAGGGTGGCTTTCCATTAGTCCCTTAAGAACAGATCTGCACCAAAGAGACCCCTCCCTGCACCATCCAGCAGGTCCTGTGCTGGATGCCACCATCATTTTTCTTGAAAAATGAGAAAAATAAAACCAAGTAGACTCAAAACACTTGTCTCCAGCTGTAACACTATCCACAGAGGGCTTTGCCCCAGTTCTGTCCAGTGTAGACTGAAAATAAAAATCCTTGACCTTACAAAAGCTCAAAAACCCTGTCCCATCCAGCTAATGGGAGCACGTGGAAGTGTTGCTGCATTGGATCTAGCATGAGGATGCTTCAGGGAACAGCCATCCCCTACCCAGCTCCTGCTGAAGCCAGAGGTTCCAGTTAAATAACGGGGCTCTCAATGGCCATCCTTTGCTTTTGAGATCCCGATGATTCACACTTCTTATGTAAGAGAGGTGTGGGAAGTGAGTAGAGGTAATCCTTTTTATTGGATGAACTAATAAAACTGGAAGCCATCTGCAAAATACTAAAATTATGCCAAGAAACCAAGGTTTTCTCCATGATTTTTAACAGCTGTGCAATTATGGATTTTACTTCCAGCACTTCAGTCCTTGGTTTCAAGCCCAGTCTCCTGGTTAGAGAGACAGCTCCTGTTAATTGCAAGGGAACTGGTTTGACATGAAAAAAAGAGAGCAGAAGAACCTGTGCTTATGAAAACCATTCCAGGGCCGCAGGGAAGCAGACAGAAAAGTTTACGTGGCTTTGGGAAACCCGGTAAGTAGGCTGAGATGCTGAATTTGGAAGGCTTTCAGTTAGCAAAACAGTAGCTGGAATAAGCCCATGAAAGGAAGCTGGATGCTCCTGGCAGCAATGCAGACCTACGATTTCGTGCCCAGCTAGGCAAGGAAATGGGCAGCGAGATCAGAGGCTATTTTGCTTTGGCTCCTAGGAAAAGCGCAGGTATGGCCAAGCCAAGAAATGAGGCAGTGCCGCTGCACAATGGCTGGAAAGTGCAAGGGACTGGATAACAGTATTCACACGGTTATTATCGAGATCAGCAATTACCAGACCAGGTCTTTCAGGGCTAAGTCACCAGTTCAAAGGTAGGCCACCCCAATGCTGAATGATGTCAGCTCTTTGCCTGAAGCTTCTCCTCCTCTGGGAAGGCTCCTCCCTCCCCCGCCAGCACTGACAGCAGGAAAGCAAAGGGGAGGCCCAAAAGCATCTTTACTTGCGGGTCCCTGCAGCTCAGGAGCTGGATCCATGGCTGGGGCAGCACATTGGGATCCACACCTCTTCTCCCTTGAGATTAGCTTCATTAGAGCCTGGTGCTAAAATTGCCAGGGTTGAGAGCTCAGTCCCTGTACAGGCCATTCACTTAAGAGCCGGACTTGTGGGTCCTTTCCAGCTTGAATATTCTGTGATTTGGTGACATCCATTCTGCAAGGGTAGGATCTATGTGTCAGTGGGGAACAGGAGAGAAACAGCAGTGGAAAGTAACAAACTCTGTGAGGAAGTGGGGCTTACACAAGAAAATCTCTGATATTCATTAGCCGCTGCCTGAACTTGTGCTGGCATAGTTCCTGATTTCCACCAGCAAAAACATTGGAACAGGTTAAAATGGAGAGAGCCAAATCTATGGATCATTGTTTTGGAGACCAATTGAGAAGAAATGCAATAACAGTTCAGGAAAGGGTGGTTTTCATAAGGACAATGATGGGGAAAACCAAGGATTTTGCCAAAATGTTATCCCCAGCATCAACTTTAGGAAACTGGCTCTGAGCCTAAGGAGGGAACCTTCCCATCATATCCCATGTCAAGCACGGCTCACATCCCTATCCCACGTACACCAAGGGCTACAGGACAGAAGGATCCATTCTACAGTAGATCCTTGGGCTTTATACCAGATGCAAATGTGAAGCACTTGAGTTCAAGGAGTATCAGCTGTTTAAAATCCTTCTGATTGCAAAGGAGCTACATCAAAGGACTCACACTCCCTTTTGTTGGGAGACTGTACCTCCTGTAGGTTAGAGGTAATCTGTCTGTCTTCACTGCTCTATGTCTGCCCATCACCCAGATCACAAAGTCCAAACAGCCAAAGGAAAACTAGTGAAGTAGTGAAGTGTCTAAATTTAACAACAAAACTCTGAAGGAATTCCTAACTGTCTAGGTCCACTTCCTGTCACAGCATCAGTTCAAGTGAGGTCACCACTGAACTTGATGGTCAGTATTTTTGGACTGGCAAGTAGACAGCAGCTCTGTCAGCTTAGACTCTTATTTCATGTTGTTCTCACTTTTGAGCATTAGTTTGCTTTCATATTGCCGTGGATGCCGAATTCTGGATTATGAGAGAATTTCAACTTCAACTTCATGAATTCTTTAATTTTTTGAATTTAGAGAAAAGTTTGCATGATCAGACAGCAGAAAGAAAGCAATCCATGGTTTTGAAAAGCCTTATTATGTTACAGTTGGTCTTTTGCTGAAGGGAAGAAAGAGAGGTGGGACTTAAATCACGACTTTTCAATCCATAGGTTCCCAGCTGTGGAAATAGCCAAATTTACCATCTGCTAAAACACAGAGAGAAGGGGCAGTGAGAGAGCTCCTCTGGAAAGGAGGGTCTGCAGGCTGGAGGTTCCTAGTACCTCCAATGCCTGAGCACACTGGCTTGGCTGTGGTCCCTGCCACAGCCAGCTGGGTGGAGGAAATCAGACAGGGCCTGAAAATTCTTCTTAGCTCTCTGAAGGTACAAGCTGAAGGGCTGCAGAAACTATGGTGATCTCTCTCTAAATAAAGGAAAACAAAATCTTATCAAAAAATGGTGTGACATGAAAACTCAGCCACGCCTGTGCTGCTCATCTTACCTAAATCTTGATATCAGGATAGCAACAGAGATTTTCACAGAGCCCAAGAGATAACCACAGCTTTATTAAAAAATGTTCCAGTCAATGAAATGGAGTTTTAAACCATCACCAGGGAGTCATTAGCAGCATGTTTGAGATTCTAATGATGTTTTGCAGCAACAGCAAAAACATTTTTGTTCCTGGATAGCTAGAACGCAGCTCCAAGAAAATAGCTAGAAATGCAGATCCAAGGAAAACCCAAGGCACTGCAGTTTCTCTGTGGGGAGACCCATACCAAAGTGCCGTGCTGTGGTTGAGCACTATCACTGCAAGTCTGGGACTTCGACAAAGGAAAAGAAACCTCTGTGAGCACAGCTAACAGGAGCAGCCACATTTTGCCTTAGAAGGAAAAGCTATCTTGCATGGGCAGGGAGTGCAATGGGACAGGAGTGCACTAGGAGACAAGAGGTTGGGAAGCAGTGAGAAATCACAGAGAGGGTGATGGCTGAAGAGATTCAGTACCAGTTGCAGACCTGCTCTTGCACCTTTCTCCCGTGTGTTAAAGGAACAGGGAGAACAAGGCTCTGGGGTCAGGACTGGAACTCTCAGCTAACCAGTCACAGCTTTGCTTCTTCCACTCTCTGGATGCCAGTGGCCACTGACCACAGGCAAAGTAAACCAGTGCCACAACAAGACTGGAGAACACCCTGCTGCTGAGGAGGACAGTGGCATCTGCTGCAGTCCAAAAGAAAAGCTGCAGCAATCCTAGCAGAAGTGTGTATGCCTCAGATAACTGCTGTTTACAAAGCAATGCAGAAACACCCTATTGTCTATGTCAAATCAAGGTGCAAAATCCCTTGAAGACAGACTTGCACACTCCAGTCTCACAGAAGCCGTGAGCAAGCCCTGGCTCACACCAATTTGTCTTTACACCAGGCTGTGCTAAGGAAGGCTTCATTTAAAGCATGACTGCAGGTGGCACAGCTATGCTCCTCCCCACTGCCTCCACAGGGCAGAATGAGCTCTCCTCCCCAAACGACACAATTACAGCTTTGAACTGTAGTTGTAAAATATGGGCTGACAGGATTCCCGGGCTTGGTAAATCTGCCAGGTCCACTGACCTACAGCCTAGCCCTCTTCTGCTTCAAGGGGAATGCTGTCCCTGTGAAACAGGTAAATTGCAGGTGTGTGCTTTCTAGGCAATATGAGTAGAAGCCTAGCAGGAGTTTCTAGACTCCTCATCTCTAGTACACAGCTTTCAGCTTCTTGACACTCCCAGCAGAAGCAATTAATTGCTGGGTCAAACAGAGAGCTATCCCACTCCACAGATGTTTCCTCTTAGTTCTACTGGACTCAAGTCAATGAAAACGTGGCAGTATCTGCACAGCAACACATGGAACTTTCCACCAGCCCAGATGGGAACAGGAGCATTCTGAGTTTCAATCTCTATTAAAATTCTGCTATTTTTGTTTGGAAGAGAAGGGAGGGGTTAAAGGGAGCTAAGAAAATAGAAATTAGCCCTTAGCATGCCTGAGAACCACAGTCTCACAGATTTCTTGGCAGATACTGTATCAGCTGGGAGAGCTGTAGGACCTTTTACCCCTGTCAGAGCTTTGTTTACCCATTTGGGACGCGAGCTGGTAGCAACAAACCTCCAGGGGCAGCTGAGACCAGCTAGCAGCTCAGTAATACTTTTGGCTGCGTTCATTATTTGTATCTCAGCAGCTGAAGCAGACCCCATCTGAACTGGGGTCACTCTCCACACCACTGTTTTTCCATGCCAACAGATGGGGAGCAGTGACACAGAAGGAACTGCTTGGGACCCCAAATTTGCTCTGTGCCTGCATAGCCAGCTACAGAAGACCGGGGGGAGGACACACACATGTAGAGGAGGCACTGCAGACGCTGGCACCACGTTAATTTACAGTGTTGCTCTGAGGAAGTGCTTGGCACCAAGTCTCTCTCTCTTGAACACACAGCCTGGATCTCAGAGGGCTAAATATTTGCTATCCTTATTAAGAAATGGGGAGGGAGTGCACATGTACTCCCCTCTACAGAGGCGTCAGTTCACACACTTGAAACACAGTGATGTTTCTTTTCCCACCACCACCTCCAGCTCTCAAAAAAATATATTTAACATTAAAAGGATCTGGAGAGGGCACAAGAAGCATCTTAAGTGATGTAACTTGCAAAATGCTTGGACATCCTTCAGCTGGAAAGCTGTGTAGAAATACACTATTCATATTACAAAATTCACCCCGAGTGTAACTCAGGGCAGCTTTTTGGTCTCTAATCACAAATCTGCAATAAAACATTCAGAGAATGGCTGAGGTTCAAGACTTGCAGTCTCATTTACGTTAACCATTTTCTGAAACATTAAATAATAAATGATCAAAAAACTGCCTGTGCTAAGTGTAAGGTACTTTAAAGGTTTTTTTCTCCCTTTTCTTTCTATGTTTTTACAAGCAGCTTTGCATGGCAATGAGTGGATCACAGCTACTGTAAAGCTGATGTCAGGTTAGCATTTGCCTCACACAGAATAACTCTGCTGAAGTGATAAAAGACAATATGTGCACTCATTGTCACTTCTTGGCTCTACTACTGTGTAGCAATGTTACAACCTACATAAACCATTACTTAAGGGACGGAAAAAATCCTAACCCTTCAAAATACTAACCTTGGGCAAATTTTGGGGGACCTTTTTTTTAACAACCTGTCTGCTTGTTACACTGCTTGTTATAGCAGTGACTGCAGATACCTGAAATACACAGTACTGTTGGAGTCACCTTGAATAACTATGTGTATGAGCTCTAGCAAAAGGACTGAAGAGGTTTGGGAACCTTAAGCACTCTATGTATTTTAATGTGATCATGATTATTAGTTTGAGCTGTAATAGGTTCTGTCCTGTATCTACAGCTTTCCTTCAGCAAAACCCTTCCTTCCCTTTTCCCCACCAAATATGTTACAGTCAAGAGAATATTCTTAATCTGATATTATAAAATTGAAACACAAAATTCAGAAAATGTTGCTTGTGTAAGAGCTAAATAACTCCTGGATTATTGTAGTCATTTCTGTCATAAAGTTTGTTCAAAACAATCCTTAACTTGCAGATGAAATACTAGCTTGTTAAAAATCAACCTCTTCCTTTGACTTTTTCCATCTGTTGTCTCTTCCTATCAAGCCAAATAAATACCTCTTATTCTTTGCTGGCCATCCAGTTGATGTAGGGAGGGAATCCACTCTACTGCTTTCAACACCTGGTGACACAACTTGTATCCATGACTTATCTCTAATCATCTGCTTTTCCCTGTGAAGGATCATTATTGACAGCCGCTATGGTTTTCCAGCTTAATTATCAAACTCTTAAAGATCAACTTAGTTTTCCATTTCCCTTGGTCATGTCCCTTCTCCTTAGCCACAGTGAGATGTTTTGGCTGTGTTACTATTGCACCTGTTGGCAAAAGGGATAGCTGGAGCTCTAGGGAGCAGGGCAGTCAAAGCATATCCTGAGTTGGAAGTAACTCACTGGGATCATCAAAACTCAACTCCTGTACAGGACACCAAGAGTCACACCATGTGTCTGAGAGCTTTGTCCCAGTACCTTTTGAACTCTGTCAGACTTGGTGCTATGACTGCTTCCTGGGACAGCCTGTTCCAGTGCCCAGGCACCCTGTGGGTGAGGAACCTTTTCCTGATATCCAACCCAAACGCTCCCTAAGACAGCTTCAGGCTCTTCCCTCAAGTCCTGTAACTGGTCACCTAAGAGAATAATTCACTGCCTGCCCCCTGCTTCTCCTTGTGAGGTAGTTGTAGACAAATCTTGGTTTAAAATATGAATTGGGAACTTGAGACCATGTTGTATTTATTGTAAAATCTAACCACATTTTATTAAAAAAATAGTAAGGTAATTTGAAGGAAGATTTCCACCTAGTGCTGCTCTCATTTGTGCTGTGCTGAAGACAACTCCATATGCATTCTAGAACACAGCAGCTGGTTTACAGAAGTACAACATGTGCAAACAGAATTGAGTGGAAAGCACACCAGTCACTCTGGAAAACAGACTCAAGCACTTCCCAGGCAACAGCATCAACTGCTGCTGCTGCACTTCCTGGATGCCAGCAGTTACCCGTATGGAAAGCACCTCAAATTTGCTTATTTGCATTTAACTGTAGCTTTCTTTATGCTTAGTAACATTTTGAAAGCCTCTTAGCCAGGAGGATGACTCTACCGGAACCAAAAAAATAACCCTTTCTTTAGATACAAACTGACAAGATTGCAAAATCAATTAAAAACAGTTTTGAACATTTAATAAAAACTCATCCTAGAAATCCAACTTTTGGTCGTGAAGTCCCCAGATTCTCTTCTTCATCCAAAATCTTCTGAAGGGCTATGTGAAGTGACTTGCCTACTCTTTGTCCTGTCTGCAAAGCAAAGAAAGTAAAACAAACCTGAGACATATGTTTATTTACAGGAAGACAACTCTTACGGAAAACTTCCTTTTGACAAATATTTTCCCTTTGATGATTCATATACACCAGCTGGTATCATAAAATATGCTTTTAATTTAGAAAAATAATGATGGTGAAAGTTCCATTTTAACTTGATTAAGTTTTGGAAAAACATACACACAAAGCCAGTGCTCTCATTCATCAGAGAAGCATTTCACAATCATTAATACCAGGTCTGCGCATTGCTGGATCACCCAGGAATACAAATTAGATTCACATCAGCCACAAGCATACATTGAAATTAGCCAGCACACAGAGCATGAAGCAGAGAAGTTCTAGCTGCCAGAGAACAAGAGACATCTGACCAGCAAAGCAGGCTACTAACAGAAAGTTCAGTAGACTCATCTGAATGTGCTCAGAATCAGCAGAGTGAATTTAGGCCAGCTGAACACCCTGTCCTGTGGCCAGAGAAGCCCAAAATGCAAACTGGCTGCCCCATCAAAGCACTCTGTGGGCAGGTCTTCACATGATGTGTAATTCTGTCCTGTCCAAGGACCCTAAAGGAGTTAACAGAACGTTTTCTTTACAGAAATAAACTCCAGTAGTGAAGACACAACAGCATTAGCTCCAGCAGTGACCTCTATTCACCCCACCTGCCCAAATGTACTGTGCAAGGTACAGGGCAGGGAAACATTGGGCAGCGGTGAAATAAAGATCTTAAGGCAGTGATACTCATTGGAACTTTTTCAGGGTCTCTCTAAATGAGCTGAAATACTGACTGTGAACAGAAATAAAAAGCCCACTCATTCCTAAAGAGCCAAAGGCAGATTATATTAAAATGAGTTGACTGGTTCCTGATCTATGCAGCAAAGCCTAGACCTGCCATACAGCTGACACAAAACTCTGTTTCACTTCTGGGTGACAATTACTGAAACCATGCACAAACCTGAAAATAAGCTACATTTTTAATTGAAGGGCCAGGTGCCAGAATATGGCCAACGGTACCAAAGGAAATTTGGGAAGAGCTTTGATGCAGCATGGTAGCTGTCAATATTAGACACCATGAGTAAAGCTACATAAATGGGGGGGGGCACAAGAACAAGAACTGTTCTGCACTGGGACAAAGATCACTGCAGCAGTCCAGAGTCAAGAGGGCTGATAAACTTTCTTCTCAAATGTAGGACAACATTGCTCACCCCAGGTCAAAGTGAGTGGGAACTGTGCAGAGCTTTGGTATTGACCCAACACTGTTGCCATCATATTCCTGCTTGCCTCTTTAGTGGATCGGATCATAAACTCAGTAAAAAAACTGAGCTTTTGGCAGCTTCCCAAAACTTTCCCATGAAACTCCCTTCCTAAGAGATATGTCCTAGAATGTCAGTTCTCCATCAGTGAGGAAAAACTAAACATCCTCTGACCTGCAGTGAAATCATCTGGGAATAGAGGTGTCAGACATAGGTTACTCAGCTCCTCCACTGGACATTCTCAGGCCCTTTTGTTTTTCCTGATATCCTGATCAGGATGTTGAGTTTAAGGCAGGACCAAACAGATAATCTCTGACCTCACAGAAAACATCTTGGGTTTTTTTTGTGATCAGCCTTATCTCTCACTCCTGCAGAGGACTTAGACATAACACGTCTCCACCCAGGTAAGGGGGATGAAAGGCAAGTGTGAATGCAAATAAAAAGCCCACTGGTAGCACTGGATTGAAATAATGATGCAGTCAAGTGCCATATACTCAGTAATTCCCTCTTGAGACAATCTGTTGTCAAACTTGGCTCCAACTTCAGCATTCCTCACTAGAGCCATGCAAAAATTAGCCCTGTGTCTCTAGGAAACAGAGACGGCTTGAAGGATCTAATTTTCATTCTGACTTTCAAGTTCAAAACGCATTTCTGTCTCATGCTCAAGGCCAAACTCAGGCATGAGAATTTACACTGGAGAACAGATTTAAGAAGAGCCTGAAGGGTTTAAAATGGATCTTATATGAATGTGGACAATATCCAGATACTAGTATTTTTATGAAGTAGGGACAGATTGTAAACTCAGTAAGGAAGCAAAGAAAAACACCAGCAAAATGAGAACAGTACATTTATCATAAAGCAAATGAGTTGTGCTGGAACACCATGCACCACCAATTCCAAACACCATCTCTACTCTTATAGGGACTTTACCACATTAGAAGTTTTGGTCTTTCAGTTTTTAAAAGACACAGTAAAAGAGGGAACATGTTCCTTAAAAATACTCTCAAAGTTTCTCAGCTTAAGCTTTACTGTCTTACAGCTGTGAAGTACTTGCCTGAAATAAATGTGAGTACCACACATTTCGGGCATCTACAAATTTTAGGCAGTGCCCACTCACAATAGAATCTGTTTCAAAGCAAATGCCTGTGTCCTTCACAAAGTCCCTCGTGCACCAAATCAAAGCACCACTGTCTCTGCTCTAAAAGCCCTTACTGAAGCTTTCTGTACACCCAAGCTCCAGCTCATCCAGTATCATCCAAAAGTCAACTGCTCAATACTCCTTACCTCCATCATTTCAAAAATACTCTCAGGATCCAGGCTACCTTTTCCCACCTTCTTCATAGAAGTGATGGCACCTTTACTGGTCACTGAAATAAGCAGGCTTGCCAAAGAACAGGCTTCTTCCTGAAGGGTAGCATCCACCACGTGCCTATATCCAATCTGCACGTTTGTGACAAAACAATGCATTAGTTTGCAGTCCTCAAAGCTCCCCCATTGAGAAATCAAACTGTGAGTGCTGGCTTTGTTACTTATCTACAGCCTCCCATCCTAAAACCATGTAGCCTTTGGAAATAGTCAGAGACTGACTTAAAAGCACACAATTTAAACAGCCTCTAACCCCAGATTGTGGGTACATAAACAACAGAGGTGAGATAAGCATGTCACTATTTCATATTGTTTTCCTTTCCACCATCCTTTAATCTGTATGAAACTCCATATTCACCTTTCCCTGCAACTCTAAGCATAGACTTTCCTCCCCTTTACCTGAAAATTACACATCCCAAGACTCAGATGAGTCCTCATCTCAGCAATGGCCCCTCTACTATTTATGCAATTTGCTTAGAAGAAATGCCAACCATATTTTCAGGTAGCTAAGCCAATCACTAACACTTGGAATGGAAAATGCAGTACTCATAAAATCAACTATGTTAGCTGTGTGCTATATATGGAAGACAAAAATCTGTTTGAATGGAAAGGGATGGTATTGCACCCATGAAAATGGAGTGCTGTCCTCAGAAACAAATACTCAGCATGTAACTCCAGGCAGATCACACAGCCTGCACTCCTGAACATAGCGACCTCTGGTTTTAACATACTAATATATCTGCTGCTCTGGATCTTAGGCAAGGAGCAGATGAAAAATAATAAAAACTCCGCTGCATGCAAGAAGATGCATTTTAAGAATGCATCAAGTAGAAACCTACAAATCAGAGGCGCAAAGAACTCTGTTATTCAGTAAAATCCTTAATTAGGAGGCCAAAGACAAATATATATACATAGAGGACACGGACCATTTCTGTAAATCTAATTTTATATCTATGGGAAAAAAAATAAATGGCAGGTGAAATTAACAGGAACTGGAGTCTCTAGCAGAAAGCAGAAATTTGTCAGGCTTACTTTGCTTAGTGTGACAACACAGGGCACCTCATCTATGTTGAGTCGAATACAATCATAAGGGTCATCAGACAGCTCAATCTCTTTGGTGCCTTCTTCATCCTCCAGAACACGCACTTTGGGTATTCTGTGGAAACAAAAGGTGCAGTCATTGCCAGAACACATAACAAACACAGCTGTTATACAGTCACAACTCCAGGAAGTCGCTGTTCTTCTAAATGAGGCAAAATGTTTAGTAGAACAGTACAAAATCTGATCAAAGTATTAACAACTCACTCCTTGAGACTACAAAGAAAACACAGTAAGTGGGAAGATATTTAAGATAAGATCATCATATTTACATCATTCAAACAGTTAAAGTTTGAGCTGTTCTTTACACTATACATGGGGAGAAATTAGTTTGGAACTTACAAAAATCAGTTCTGAACAATTCCTTGTATCTATCAGAATGTCATAGATGTACAGGAGACAAATTAACAAGACTGAATCCTTTTGCTCTGTGGTTCCCAACCTTACAGACAACAGCAAAGTTGTCAGCATTACATAAGTTGCATTGCTTGGCAAAGGTAGTAAAGCTGTTCAGGAAAGAATAGCACCAACTAAAGAGATTTGGGGTGAAGAGAAAAGGTGACATTAGTAAAATCCTTTCTCTAGCAAGATGAGAAGATTGGCAAGATACTCTACTGTTCTAAGGACAGATATACAGACATCAGGAGGAAGCAGTGATGAAAACCCAGGCAGAAATCCAAGAAATGCTTTCTTCTCAGTTGTGAATGATGAGCTCTCTCACAAATGAGCTAGACAGGCTCCTTATCAGTCGCACATACATTGTATTTGTGATAGTCATCTAATGGAGGTTTTATGGGATTATTTAAGGCAGTTTCCTTAGCATTTAAGGAAATTTAAAATAATTTAGGAGAAGATGGTATCTCAAGCTGCCAAGAATGTCAGCATCTTATACACCCTCATTTATCCAGGTGCCTGCTAGGATGAAGTACTGACTGAGAGACTCGGCATTACTGGCCAGTAAAACAGAAACAGAGCTCACCCACACTGCTCACTCTTTCACACATTTGCACTTGAAAACAAAGTATTTCAAGATGTCCCAAGACAGCTAACTTCAGTAACCACAATCTGGTTTTATGTTAGTGCTTTTACAGTAGCATTGTGTTTTGTAACTAGACTCTGAAGGTTACATTCTTTTATGCACTCTGTAACAAATCTATGGACTCATTTAATGAACATTTCCCCCCCACCAATACAAGGTGATTTTGATTGATACTTGGAAGACTATTTTAGTTATTAGGGGCTAAAAGTTGTACTGGCAAGTACTTCAAAACAGATAACCCTGCTCCAGTGACAACGAATTCCCTACAAGCACACTGGCCTGAGCCAACCCAAAACTAAGACTTTGAGAAAGCAGAACAATTGTGATGTGCACTTCTTCCAGAAATGAAACTCCAAATGTTTTCAACTCATTATAAATTCATCAAAGCCTATTTTCAAGTTTAAAATATTCCATTAGAGTTGATGGAATAAAGTCACTATCTAGACTAACCCTCAAGCTACACAGGACAATGGACGACACTGGACAACAGCCTAGACAAGGAAGACGCGTACATGCCAGAGTAATGTTTAAAAAATAAAGCAAGATTTTATGAAAATCTGTGAGATTAAGCAACTTTTAACTCCAACTTAAAATAGCTTTGAAACCAGAGCAGTGTTTGTCTGCAAGAAAAAGTTGCCAGAATTGATATCTGAAAAATGCCTGCAAGGAGCTTTTTTGGCCAAGAACAGATGAGAGAGGTGTAAATTAGAAATACTGCAAAGGCAAAAACATCAGACACAAACATCACAGCTGCATAAAAAGGGGGTATGTGGACACAAAAATTATGCAAAGTGAATGTAGCACAAGGCTTCTCCAGAACAATGTAAATTTCCTCTCCCAGCTTGTGAAGATTTATCCTAAGTAGCTGTACATGTTCACTTTGCAACTTTCATTTTTCTATTTTGATTCCTGCAACTAATCAGGGCAGAGATCTGTACAGCAAGACTCAGTCATGTAACAAACAGTGCTCTTTTCTTTGCGTGCAGACCCAGATTTCACAAATGCAAAAGCAGTCCCACCCTTCCAAGCAGGCATCAGTTCTGCCTCTACCACGCTGTGCAGCAAAAACTTTGGTATCTGCAAGGCTGTTGTGTTAGAAACTTTGTTGTTTTTGTAACTTGCCTAACTTGTAACTATTTTTTGTAGCCTCGGTTGTAAGTAGGCACATTCCACGGAACTGAGTTTAATGTCCCGTCACAGTAGCTAACTGCACATTTTGCAACATCTACTTCCATCATTAATAAATCCATCCTTAAACATCTGGAAGGCATGGATAAGAAGAAAGCCTAGTCTCTGCTATCTTGTGCACATGATCTTGATGGTAGTTTTTAGAACCCAGTGAACAATACAGAACCGCAAGGAGTAAATATTTCCCCTAAACCAGTTCTATTGTCATTGTTCCAAGCCTGAAGGGGAGAGAACAAGTCAGGTCAGGCATTTAAAGGATTTAAATCCCATAAGTCTTGAGCAAAATTCCTGAAGATCTGATGTTGGATTTACTTAGCTCTAAAGCAAGATGTGTCCACAGATATTACAAAAATGCTTAGAGCAAGATTTTAAATTGAAGTTTTCAAATGCCTATCTGAATATCTAAAATTTTGTAGCTTCAAAGAAAAAAACAGCAGCTTGAGCTCCCTGCTCTTTGTTCCAATGCTCTAGTCAAGGCTGGCAAAGATCTGAAAACAGAACAAAAACTTGGTTGTAAACAAAGTAGGAAAAGCAAGTAAGAATCAAAGAGGGGACACATGTCAAACACAGTTCAGAACACTTAATCTGAAGCAATCTTCAAACTGACATCTTTTCTTGTTTGGAGAATAATACTTTATGGAGAACAGCAGCTACTCTTAAACAACCTTGTGTCAATCCAAAGAAAACCCAGTAGCTACAAAGGGAAAGGGAGAGAAAAAAGTGAATGAGGACAACAGATTTTCACTTTGAATTTCACCTCTTGACTTTCTGAGCTTGTATGAGATGAGCTGTACTAGTGTTGCCTGCTCAAATCAACAAGATAGGGTTTTCAAAGGCAAAAAAAGCAACAGGCAGTGTCATACTGTATCACATTTTGAAATGATACTCAACTTCAACAAGACTTGCAGTTTGCCTGCAGCTTAAAGATTATATAAAGGACACAGTTGTCAGAGGAATAAAAATAAGTAAGAAACATTACACTCTCCATCATATTGTCCATGTTCTTTTATTAATTTATTTAATTCACTACTTTCTATACAATTGTCTCTCTTTATTCTAGTTAAAGTAAGAAAAACGACCTAGCTGTCTTATAAATAAAGTATGAGCTGTGGATCTGCAAAACAACTCACATGGTAGTAACTGTTTTAACTACATGACTTTTGCATCCTGGCAACTCACACACAGAAATACAGGCATTTCTTCTTTTTTACTGTACTGCTAACTCCTCTGTGAGCCATTACATTTCCAAAAGTATTTCATAATGTTATAAAAACAATCTGCTGTTAAAAGTTACTGCTGAGAACTTGATTAACATGAGAAATTTCTCAGCAACACATTCAATTTCTAGTCTCAGATGGATAAGTCTCCCCTTATCCCTTTTATAGCATTTATAACCTGATATACTGCCTGTCTTCAAAAGCTTATTTTCCTCTTATTTTTGCACGCACTTTTCCAGATCTAGTACTGTGCCCTGATTCCCCGATAAATAAGACAGAACTACACTAGTGACTTTAGCAGATCACTAATTAATGCTGAAGAACAATTTGAGATCCACTTTTAAAACATTTATGCTAATAGGAGTCTAGGTTTCGCACCTCCACCAGCTATTTTTGCCATGTAAGTTTTTTAGCAAAGCTATTCACTAGGTTGTTTTTCTCAGAGGTGCTACAAAACTCTGTACTCCCTTTCACCTACAGATAAAATAGAAACAATAGAAACTATAGTAGTACGTCTTATTGAAAACACACAGAGAAGACTTGCATCATTCATTCTACTAGATTTTGTTTTTCCATTCTTTGAATTAAAATGCATGGAGCAAAATTCTTTTGAAGACACATAATTTTCCCCTCCCCACAATCTCTCACTACCACTTTTTTCCTCTTGGTTTTAAAAAGAACTCTAGGCTGACAGTTAATGAGAACAAAATCAAAAGTGGAAAACCAGAGCTAATTACAAATCAGTAGTCACACTAATAGAGAGCTTCTTATTCAGAAGCATCACATATAAGTAAATACTTCTTATTTCAAATCCACAAGGCATCAACACCAAGGCCTCAAAATACTTGCAGCAAAACCATATGGTCAACACTACTTTTGTGGATCTGGCTACAACAAAAGTTATATTGTGAACATGATTGTGCACAACATGCAATATGACACTTGATCATTAGAAACTGAATTAAAATAACATTAGTTCATGGTACTTGCATGCAAATGAGTGCCTTGTATCTGAATGCAAGCTGTCTTGGGAACTTATTTAAATAATTAAGCATTAAAAATGTTTTGCTCACAGAGAATGTTTCTCTTCCACTTCCCATGTCACTTCTACCCACATGAAATAAGATCTGTGCTTTACCTTGTGTTAAAGAGAGCTGCCTTCACTGCGATGGAGATTGCATCAAAGATGTTCCCACCACATTCCAATAACTGGAGAGGAAAAGAAGAATCTCTTTAAAATAAAATTAGGCTAGTGTCTTTAAATGAAGCCTTTATTTTATTTAAACCTACTTGAAAAGGAAGAAAATTAATTACCAGAACAGGTTTTTAAAAAACAAAGTTGTCTTTAAAGCCTATACAAGAAAAGAAACAGATAAGAAATTAAGATTTCAGCTAACTGTATTATGCATGCAAAATATAAGACTTAATGCACTTCATAATAAAATTAATGATAAAATTTAATAATAGAAGCTAAATGAAACCACCACCATTCTTAATCTTCTTGTGCTAACGTTCTGAACTAGTCTATGGCCAGAATACCCTTTATAAACTCATCACATTAATTCTTTAGTGTTAAATTAAGCCAATCAATTTTCTAATTTCATTTCAAAGAGGAGTCTTTTTAAAATATCAGATGGACAAAATGAACTGGGAGAACTGCTGTCACAGAAGAAACACACACTGTCACCAAGAACATGGTATGGAAAGCAAGTTATATAAGGTGTAGTTATGAAGGCAAATCATGATTTATTCTGTTTATAGGAAATAGTCATTGTCAGGTTTGTCTTGTACCTGAAAGTGATCCATGGAGAACCTGATGTCAAGGTCTTTTTCAAATGAGTGTTATCAACAAGTGAAGTGTGTGGAGGCAGCCTAGCTCAGTTTTTTCCCATGAAGATGGGGAGAACAACAGTCTAAGGGAAAAGCAGCACTGCATACAAGGTAAAAAGGAAGGGCTCCCCAAACCATGACTACCTTCTGCAGGCTGCCAGGCAAGTCAGAGATGTGTCTGTGCATAGCCTACTGTCACTTCTCTGACCAGCTCAGCTCTCAGCTGCCAGTACTGTTTCCTGAGGACACACACACAGGCATCTGGAACTACTTCTGCAAGAAAATATGGATGCTTCTCTGTGACATCAATCTATGCTGTATGATGAGAGCAAAACACATTTTGCAATCCTGATTACATTGAATGTTCTTCAAAATGTATTTAAAAATGAGAAAAACTCCTGCACAGGGAGTAAATCATAAACGAGATATTCTATAAAGACAGTTACTTTTTATGAAGACAGACTGGATAGTGTAAAAAGAATGACAAAAAGTTGGGATAGAAAGCTAAATACAAAGGTGATCAGATTATTTTTTTGCAAGCAGCTGCTGGATACAGAGAGGTTAACTTGCCCCTTTCAGTCACTATTGGATTTTACCCGATAACACAATAAGCCCCACAATATCTTTGTTATTAAAACACAATAATGGGATGCGCCTGCACTGTTGCTAGGCTTGTGTTCAGGCTGCTGTTCTAGAGCCTTATCTGTGCTACAGTGGCTCCTAGAGGCAAGGAACACTGCCTGCACAGAGAGTGGTGCAACAATTCCTCCACAAAGAAATGAACCCTTTTCTCAGCTCAAGAACCTTGTACTGACATCCCTCCCGTTTATTTAGTTATTTTTAAGACCAAGAAAGTCTGCATAACTGTGAGTTGTGGGAAGCAGAGGGGTCTTTTCTGCTTTTAATTTACTCATATGCAAGTGAAAAAGTTATGGGAAAGAAAAGATAACATATGACTGTCTAACTGTAGGCTTCACCTTATTCAGAAAAGCTTTTCCTCCAAAAGTAGAGATTCCTAACTTCTTTTTTATCAGACTGGGGCAGGGGAGGAGGAAATAGAAAACATGAGGAAATCCTGGAAGGTGGTCATTAGTGAACTGCAAAAATTTCAAGAGAAACTAATGCACCCTGTCCTCCTGACACACAATCTACTGTGACTGGATAGGGAATGGTAAGAGATTGCACTTTGATTCTCTTTGTTTAGCCCAGCAGGCTGCTGGGGCAAATTACGGGGAGAAGATTATATGTATATATCAAAACCCACTCAAAAATGCCTAAAAGCTTCTTATTTCTGACATCAATGGTTTGCTTAGAAAAGGAAGAAATTGAGGGAAACAGAGAGGGTGAGAACAGGCCTTTGTGGTACTCCACATTGATAAGCTACTATTTGGAAGTGGAATGCCTTCCATTATTAAAAAAGAATGAATACACTCTGAAAGGTCAAGGTACATATTCTCCACCTTTGACACATGTATCTCAATTTGTCCATATGTCTGCATCTTTGTGGTGTGCATGGCTGAAGTTATTTTTTTTTCCAGTCTGATTGTACAGAATTATATCATGTCCCAAGTACACTGACCACTAGAAAATATTTGAGATATGTTTTTAATTGATAAAGCTTTTGCATGACTGCAAAACACACTATTTTCTCTTTTAAGGATGCATGTGTCAAATTTTGTTTACACACAGGAGCTGAATACAGGTGTCTTAATAAAACTGTATGTGGCAAAGTTGCACAGCAATGGAGTATTTTCCAGGCTCATAACATTCTTTCTGGATCTCTGTCTTTTGGAATGAGACGCTTCCAGACATGTACCTTCCCACCTGACTGCAGGGTACCAGTATTTTCAGCCTTACGATGGATTTAAGGTTTATTTTCCCTCCAATTTGACTATGCAACACAAAGACCAATGTAAAGAATTTCCAGGCATTCTGAAGGAAAATATCACCCAAAGGACTCTCTGTGAGTGTTGTTTTTATACTCAGAATCTGTCTCCCTCAAATGATGAATAATATGAGTTGCTCCTTGTATTAGCCCAAGTGTCATCCTTACACCACACACTATAAAAAGTAGAATTCTATAGGAATGATTCAGCAACGGCAGCTTCAGGAAAATCTGTAGGCGTCAAGCACCTACACTATCACATGTAATATACATGTATACTGTTTGGAAAAGGAAATATTACAAGTATGTCAAAAAAGTGAAAATACAGAGGACTGAGGTGAAAAAAAAAAAAAGGTGGAGATAGAACAGAGTAAGAAAGAAATGTTTACAGTATTTTGTTCTAACTGTACCAACCACTCTTCAATGGCTCACACACAAAATCCCTGCAGAATATAACATTAAAAAGACCCATCAGGTTGAGTCGTAATTATGAACCTGCAACAGATTTTTAATTGGCATTGTAAAAAGAGTTAAATGTAAAATTTCTCATATAACATAGTGATGTTGATGTTGATGCCCTGATGTTCATAATTCTGATACAATACGTAGCATGAAAACACAGAGGCTGTTTTTCTCTGTAACTGGACAATCAACAAATCTGGCCAGGAAGAATCAGGTAACAACCAGCTATATTTCAAACAAAAGCTATACAGAACAGTGTGTGTGTGTGTGTGTGTGTATGAATACATATATATACACACACGGAGAAGCAGACTGCTTTATGAAAGTCTTTGTTTATCCAGTGCCTATGCAATGTTAAGCAGCATGTTGCTTAAATAAGCACAGCATTTAATATTCTGTACCTCTGCTTGTAATTACCTTGTAACTAAAGGGCCCAGTGTGATTTCTCAGAACTAACACTTCATTCTCCATTAAACCTCGCCAAGCTGCAATAAGCCAGAGACTTGGGCTGTTAAAGCACTCAGTAGAGGTACATATTCCATCATTTTGTAGCTGGACTGTTGTACCGTATCTACTATAATTAGGCTAATGCTACTGCTTTTAAAATAACTAGTGAACTAATTTTCACATTTATTTAGGTCTTAGTCTAAATGTTCCTGTATTGTTCAACAAAACCCTGTATTTAATTTCTTGGCCATACAGCTTAACATTTTGCACATTATTTCACAGATCCTAACATGTAGGAGTCCAGGACATCTATCTGGCTGCCCTGGCTGTCTCAAGACCCTGGCAGGGGGCTCAGAGACCTTGGCATGATGTCAAAAACACCTGTGGCGTTGATTTTAGCCCATGGAAAAAAATGACAACTTTGTATGACGAATTACAAGCCACAAGGGTTTGAGTAGTGTGGTAGATGAATTAACACAGGGTGAAAAAGTAGAATTCTGGGGCTTTTTAGAATGGGGTTCAAGGGGACAAGATAGAGGGATATGGGCATGTCCTGACCTTCTCCTTCTTCTTGCCCTCCATGTCTTGCGCTGTGATGGTGACACTTTTCTATTGGTTTAAGGTAGAGACACACTGTCTAACATAAATGATAGATATTGGCACATTATTGTAAACATAGTACACGTAGTGTTTGGTAGAAAATGTAAACACTGCCTGAGAGGGCAGACAGAATGCCATGGCTGACCTGCTAGACAGAGCTCAGCAGGTCAGAGAAAGAATGTTATAGATAAGGAAAAATAAACAACCTTGAGAAGCTGACCCTACACATTCAGACGTCTTTGGCTGTGCAGGCTGGGAAACAAGGACTTTTACATTCTTGGGGTCACCTCGACACCCAGACCCCAAGACAATGGATTGCTCTAAGATCCCTTAACATATTTCCACTTCCAAATTTGATAAACAGAAACTCAACTTTGGATCAATAATAATTGGAAATAACACTCAGGAGAGTCTGACTGGCAAACTTCTATTGACATTCCCATGACAGAGTGCTTTAAATGCAGTATATTTGGAAATTGAGCTGCTGCATGCATCAGGTTTGTACGCATAAAATTCAGTGTCCATTACTGTCATGGGAACAAATATTCAGTTTATCTTCTACATTTAATACATGTATACAAATTTCATCAAAAAGCACTTAGGCTAAACCTAGCTTTTGCCAAAAAAGGTTTTATTTTACTTTAGTGAATTCGCAGTGATAAGACTACAAAGAACCAGGCAGATGGACAGTTCTGTTAGGGTTAACATACACCCATAATAATTGATATTCACTTGAACAAAACATCTGTTGTTACATCTACCTTGGAAAAGAAGTTTACCCTTCTTTAGTGGCAATTTCTTGTAAGATAATAAGATCACTGATTTTTATTTGAAAGAGATTTGGAGTATTCAATGTTTTATTAGTTCTGCAGTGGAACAGCAGCATCAAGAAGAGTAGAAAAAGAGCAAGCTGAAATCAGTGATTAAGTACTATAAGTAGATTCACAAGAAAACTTGCATCCATGCTGTGATACATTATATCACATAGTGAGATGCTTTTTTTTAAACAAGAAAATACAGAAGGTTATGCTAAGTCAGTCTCTGCCTTAGAAACATTTTGCTGAATCTTAGTTTTCACTTCTGTACTTACCAATACATCCACATAGAGAACCCAACAGTGCTCTTTGGGATTAATACAAAGGGATTTCAAGTCTACACTGTTCTCGCAGCTGAATATTCTATATAGTGTATTTGCTATATCTGTGCCAAGTTCTTCTCCTCCCCGGCCTTCCAACTCAGGAGAATTTGAAGAACTAGATAAAGAAAGAAAAGAATACTTTCACTTGTGAAACAGCAAATACCCAAAGAATATTTCTTAAATATAAAGCATTAAAAGTATCTAAGGATTTATTTGTACAAGAATAAGTATCCTATCTGAAAAGGAATTATTTCAATTTTGCATGAGAGAAGGTTTTGATGCAGATAATATACTGACATTTTGTTACAAATACTAATACTAACTAAATCCCACTACTATCTTCAGTTCCCCAGTTACAATTAAAGTAAAATTCGGTGAATTCTCTCAGAGATTATTTCTTAAGCACTGTCACCTTCTATCACCTCTACACTTTAAAAAAAAAAAAAGTGGGACATCTGTATTAAGTTCACCACAGCTACCAAGACAGCCTAGTGAGAGCTGAATGTTAAATTATTAAGAGACTGGCTAAGAAGAGAAAGATATGATGCTATGACAAATAGAATACTAATTTCTTGTAAGTAACATGACTGCTTGACCTTAATTGGTAATTTCTTTACTGAGTGTATTGTCTGCTATCAAGCCCCTTAAAGAAAGCATGTCATTACTCTCTGCAGCTTATGGAGAACACCAACGAAACATCTCTTCCAGATGGGATCTGACAAAGTGTGTGGTCTTCTTTCCTGATTCCAATGTAACAAACTATTTATGAACAGCCATGCAAGAAAGTCCTTGGGTGCTGGGGCCTGGTACACAGCTAAGAAACTTCTAAAAATGAAAGAAAACAAGCCAAAAAAGAAACATACAAGAAACCCAACCAACCAACAAAAAACCAAATCAAACCAAAAAAAAAAAACCAACCAAAAAAAAAAAAAAAACCAACCAAACAGACAAAAAAAACACACCCCCAAAACAAACAAGAAACCCCAAAAACAAAACAAAAAAATAACACCCAACCTCCCCCCCGCCCCCACCCCACAAACAAACAGAAGCCAAACAAATATAACCAAACAAAATCCACACCAAACCTAACAAAAAGAACAAAAAAAACCCTCCAAAGAACAATAAATGTCCAGAGATGCATATACAGTAAAATAATGAGCAACGATTCCAAACCCAGCCTCTGGTTTATAGAGAGGGCAAAAATATTCTCAAGCAGTGGACCTGTAGCAGCACTGCAAATCTTATTTTAAAATAAATCAGTCAGACCTCCACCAAATTAATTCCCCATTAGAGAACATATCAAAGGAAGTGGTTACACGAAAGTAGTTTAGATCTGTTCAAAATCTGCAATGGCCACGCCCTGTATTCTAGTGGGGCATGTCACAGGGCAAATTTCTCATGTGTGTTCTGTGTGTATATGATGCAACAAAACCTTAGCACACCAGGAATACAAAAATACAGCAGAAAACTGTGTGCTGGAGTATAATCCCTTCACCTTAAAAAAAAAAAAACAAACGCAAACAACTAAAGATACACATTATCAAAGTGTGACACCATCAAGTGAGCTGTGCCGGTAATACTGCAGAATCTATAAGCTTATATACAATTATCTACTATTATCCTTACTTCACAGTACCTCTCCCAACTTGTTCTTTTGCAGAGCTGATGAAAACTCAGAATGCCAGGAAGAACTATTGGACCTTATAGAAGTTATTTGCTGCTACTAGATGCAGACAGCACTATACATGCTTAAAAATACAAAGAAACATTACTGACAATTAAGCAGCGATCTATGCTTCCAAACTATATTTGCCACATGAATAAGCATTGCAAGTGTGACACACAATATTATTCAGGGTTATCAGGGTTACTAATTTTATGAGACAAGATCTTATCTAAGTATAACTCAGTGCTGAGTCAGGTCTTCAGGTTGTACTAAACTAGCACTTATCCATGGAAGCAGTTTTTATGCACATCAACAAGATAATTTTGTTTAAGCCATAGTTATGCAAGCATTATGACCCCTATGGCAAGTTGCAAGAATTATGCAAAGTTCAATCTATGCCTCATTATTACTTCTAAACACAAAGTTTTATCAAATGTTGTATTTTTTGATTACGAGTGGATGCTTTGACAGTTGAGTAGAAAGAACCTAAGACTCAATTGGAACACTGTACATTTCACTGCATCTTAATTCCATTATCATTTTAACACTTCATTTCCTTGCAATCAAAGTGAAATAAAGAAGCAAGGCTACCAGGATATTACTATAACTATTTGGTAAACACTGCCATCTAATGCCTACAGATTATTGCAGTAACTTATACTGGGCAAAATTTGGAAAGGGGATGTCTTAACAGACTAGAAAATGCTTAGTAGTGGTACAGAATTTCTACGTCCAAGTAGCATGTAACTTTCAAGACTACTAAAGTAATTTCAATGTCACATTGCCTAACAGTCTGAGATTCCTCTTAAAGCACAATGATACTTCTACCACATATCTCTACTGAATTGCAAAACTCCTCCTGTTTTCAGATAAAATATTTCTATTGCAACAGTTAAACATTTCTCACTTATTGCTCAGGCCATTAATATACTGTAATCTACAGTTGGTCAGATCTGGACAAATATACTCCTTGCTTCCCTAACTCCACAAACAAAATCTGAGGCATTCAAGGAATTCAGATGTCTGCTTTTTTTGTTGTTTCTATATCTTACAGTTTGAAAGTGATAAATCAGATCAGCCACAAAACTCAAATGTGAGACAAGCAGACATAGCAGTCTTTCAGCATCAAGGGCCAGGATGAATGTCTTCTCCAGTGATGAGAGGCAGTAAGAATACCACACATATTAGGATATAGACTTGTTTTATGAGAATTAATTTCCAGGATCACAAATCAGTGCCCCAAAAATCATCCCCTCCACAGATTCGCATTAAAATCTGTCTCAAAATGGGACTAGGCGTGCTTCTCAGATTTCAGGTAAAGGACTCAGAGCAGAATAAAGAGAAATAGTAGTCTGGATCAGAGAATTATACACATGATCCAGTAAATGATTATTTTTATCAGTAAAAGAAACTATGGAAGTTTTGAGAAATAAGCATTTTAAGATAGTAATCACTGCAGTCTGAGTTTTTTATTATTAGCTTCAACAATACAAAAGCCAGTTAGAACACACAGGAACTTAAGCAGAAGCTTCAGGGTATTGAATTGTGCTCAGTTACTACCACCCAGGGGCAGTCTGGCAAAGCATCAGGGTACTGACAGCAGCTCATTCCCCTTGACAGAGGGAAGCTGCCTCCACTTTCTGTCTTTTGCATCTTTCTGGAAGCTAAAGAACACCTTTCCCTGTCCCACAAGCATGTGACAATTGACTACAATCCTCTAAAGTTCAGGCCCTTGGATCCTGTTGTCACAGAAATTAAATATTACTTATTTCCTGAACTGACTAAATCCAACTCCCACAAGATGCACATCTCCCTCCCATCCCATGAAACAGAGATAACAGAAAATACAATTGAACATTAATCTAATGAGTTGAAGATTTTCTAGTATCTATTTCCATACCCAAGAAGAGCCATGGAATTGCCACATGTCCACAGACCACTTTTTTTTAGGAAGGAAATGTCCCTGCTCTCAACGGACTTTCTTCATATAGAGAAGAAAAACCCAAAACAATAAACATGTACCATTTAAGACACTTCAGACAGGAGTTCTAACAGCAGGACCACATTCAAGATCATCTTCCCATCTGATATTTTTTGAACAGCAATTGTAAACAAACTATCAATTCACAGGTGAGTGTTTTCCTTTAAAGCATTAAGTTTCCACAGTTAACTAGAACATAGTGATGCAAAGCTCTCATACCTTAGCTTTAACAGTGGTATATTAGTTTAATGTCAGAGTAGCAACATTTTTTTGTTTTTAATAAAAATGAAAAGAGATGCCACATGTAAAGCAGCCAACTTGACAATGCCAAGGCTTTTATGAGAGGTCCCCAAAGCAATTTAAATCATAAAGAAGAGTTTTGGGTAAGTCTGCAAGACATGGATACTGTAGTCTTGGCTGCAGACAATTTAGACTAACATTGAGATGTCACTGTGCTATCTCAGAGCAACCTGAAAACAAGAAGTCTGTTTTCTTCCAGCTTCTTCCATAATTCAAACACTATGAAGAGTGTAAGGATAAATAACAGTGCATTTGTAACAAAATGCAGAAAATCTGATTAAAAATAAACACCCTTTTAGTTAATGAAAGATGGATTCACATATAAATATATAACTAAAATTTCTAATTAGTCTTTGCATCTGAAATTTACATTTGAGGTTTTTCTATTTTAAACAAAAAAAAATTTGTACTAAACACATGTCAAACTTTTTCCACTGCTTTCACAAACAAAGGAAGCCAGCCTTTAAGTACAGTTAAAGTACAGTATGCATTGGTCAATTATTTTCTTCCAACTTATTTTTTTTTAAAGAAATTTTCTCTATTTTATCATGGCAAAAACAACAGCTAGACATTTTAATCATGAAGGCTGGTTCCAAGCATGTGTACTTGAACCATTACCCTTTTCCAGCTGCAGTGATGCTTTGCAATTTGGGATTGTTTTATTTAACTGGTTTTGATTCTTTAACTCCTGCTGATTTGCTTCTTTTGAGTTTGCAGGACCAGCAGAAAATTCCTCAACATTCACTGCTACTGAAACGGTAGAATAACTTGTTTCTCTCACTCAAACTCCTAGAGGAGGTTAGTGGAATGAAAGCATAAACTTCTGAAGAATGGCAAGACCTGATTAGTAATTTATTCCAAATATTAGATCTATTTCAATATTTTCTAGTATACTAACCAGTCAACAAAAAATTCCAGGTAACCTTCATCTGGTTTCTCCAGCTTCGGTGTCCCCATTTCAGCTTTTATGCCTACCAAGATATCAGTTTCTCCCTATTAAAACAAGAACACATCACACAACTGGAATTATAATTACAGAACTATGTGTTTAATTTAAATCCATTTCTACCTTTCAGTTATCTGATCATTCTATCAGAATGAACTTAAAATTAACATTAAAAAAAAAAAAACAAAAGGCTTTAGAAGGACAATATTAAGTGTAAGAAGATTCTTCAAACTATTACCATACATATTACCTATCTTTAGGCTAAAAAGATTCTTAATATCCAAGACTACTTCTGTCATTTTGGTTCTGTAAACAGCTCTTTCTGCAGAACCTTCATAATGGTGCACAGTACATTTATCTTCTTCACAGTCAACATGTCAGAAGTAGTTTTGCATCATTTTAAAGGAATAGAAATTTTTGCACCTCCCAGAAACTAGGCACAACAAGCAACTTCAGTTTTCAAGATTAAATGTTAAATTATTGCAGACTTAAGGCTGTCCAGGCACTTTACAGTAAATCCAGCTCAAGCCAGCCTGAAGTAATTATATATCCTGCCATTATTTCCATATCCCATGGTTTCAGTTACTGCTATAAACATACATGTTATACAGGTTATACACAAACCTAGCTACAAATAGCATCAGATTAACTAGTCACATGAAGCAATTTCATTAGCAAGGCACCCAATCCCTAAGAAATTTATCTACCAGCTTTACTCTTGCAGATCCACTTGTGTTTGATACAACATCTGTTTCTACTTCTGCACATCTGTAGTCTTCACAGCCTCGACCATCGACACGAAGGTCTTCCTAAGTATGACAACCAATTTATTGTTGAGGGAATCAGCAGTGAAAAGTAAAAACAAAACAAAACAGACAAAAAAAACCCACCACAAACAAAAAACTCTGTGACTTTAAACTTTCCTTCTCCTATACCAAATGCAGCACTAAAAAGGATATAAAAGCAACAACTTGTAGTTTCACCATGGAATACAAAAGAACAAACTATACTTTTTAATTTATATCTCATTTATGTAGAGCTTGTAACAAGCAATCTGCAGGCAGACATGAATTGCACCAAGTCTCTCTAATTCCCAAAAGAAAGCATTGGATTGCAGAACTGTAAAGGTCTTGGCTTTAAGTGGTACTTTACCTAACGCAACCCAGCTCTTTCCTTGGATAGGCAAGTTCTGTACTTTTACACCAGTAATTAGGACCCCAGCAGACAAAAATAATACACCAGCCTCCCAAATGCTTTCTTCCATTTGTATTCCACAAATGAGTATTACACATCCTCTGATACTCTACAGCTCATTCCCATAAAAACAGGTTTTCAGTAAATTTAAGTAAGAATACAGTTTTTTTATCTTTGGGGCTTCTCCTTAAACACCCTTCACTCTTCCTCCTTTGTCCACTCGTGTTCCTTCAGCAAGTTACAGGCTAAAACTCTATCCAGTGGCAGTAACTTGAGGAAGAGCCAGGAAAGACCAAGGAAAGAGGAGCAGATGGGGGCAGAAAAATATTAAGCTCTTAGAAAGCATCCAAAGGAGGGCAATGAAGATGATGAAGGGCCCTGCAGGGAAGTCGTCTGAAGGGATGCCGCGGTCACTTGGGCTGTTCAGCCTGGAAGAGACTGAGGGGAGACCTCACTGCACTCTACAACTTCCTCAGGAGAGGAGGGGCAGGCACTGATCTCTTCTCGGTGGAGACCAGTGACAGGACCTGAGGGAATGGCCTGAAGTTGTGTCAGGGGAGACTTAGGTTTCCACGTCCCGCTCTCAGCCTGCTTCCCGTTCTGATGCTCGGCGTGCTGTGATGAATACTGCTCCAGAGGCTCGGCACCAGACACACCGGTGGAGGGCTCCTTCCTTCCCTCCTTCCTCCCCTGCCTCCTGCCCGGCCTGTTGCCCGGGGCCCGCCCGCGGTACCTGCACGCCGTGCACGATGTACAGCTTCTCCGCCTCGCTCAGCACCACGGACGCCATGCCCGCCGCCTCCGCCCGCACCTGCGCACTGCCGCGCTTCCTCCCCGCCTCTGCCCGCCTTCCGTCCGTGCCTCCGTCCCTCCGTCCGTCCGTCTGTCTGCCGGCTAGCCAGGGCTGCTGTCCCACCCGCCCAGCCGGCACCGGCACCTCACAGCGAGGGCTCCCCTTGCCCGGCGGCAAAGCGGGGGGTGCAGCCGGGAAGCCACAGAAGCCTTTCACGCGGAGTAGGTGCAGCGCTCTGAACGCGGTACCCCCCGGGCGTCCCGGGAAACGTCCCCTCCAAGGAGCTGGCCCTCGCGGTGAAGCCACAGCTCCCGCTTTCTGCCAAAAGCACCTCCAGGAGGCTGTGGAAATACCCTGGTGCACAAAAATGGATCGCGTAGTCACAGTCTTCTGCGTTTCCTCCTTTTCCTTGCGGAGTTTTTAACCTCAGAAAGGTCCAAGCGAAGTGCGGTGCGCGGGGAAGGCTGGTGCGGGAGCAGGGAAGAAACCAAATGCTTAGGAGATTCTGTTGGTCCTGTGCCAGATATCACTGGGAAAGTGGGAAATGTGATTAAAAACTCGCACTATATATTAAAACAATAATTAAGGGTTGGGTTTTTTTGACAGCCTTAATTGAAAGTTTCATAACAATCATTAGTGTAAGTTTGCATGCCTTTTTGCATAGCTCCTGTGTAAAAATTTTCAGAGTATTTTAAAATATGGTATCTTGACTTCACGCTGATGCTTGCTTGGCTAAAAATGATCCATGGCTCCCAAGGATTACTCAGCACACTGCCAGAGTTTATCCGGCTTTCCCCAACTCCTTGTTAAATCAAATGTGCAAAGCATTCCTGGCTGTGCCTATTGGAGCAGGTGGCATGATGCAGTGGGAGCAAACTTCAGGAGCGATGGATGCTTTTGGAAGTTTTACCTTGGTCTGGTCCCATTGGCAGGCTGCTTATCAATCAGCAGTCAGGGCAGAGCTGATGCATTTCTGGCACTCTTCCCATGGCTGAACTTTTACATCAGTAATTAGGAGCCTCATTTCTGCACGCTGGGGTTGTAGGGGGATTGTTTATTGTTTCTTGGTGGGGAGAGCCAGCAGTGGAGCCTGGCAGAGCTGGGAGCTTGGGTAGCTTGTCTTCCCAGCTCACCCTAGGGAGGTGAGCAGGGCCAGGTCTCCTTGCTGGCCCACGGGAGTGCCATACAAAGGCAGTGCCCATGCATGAAAGGGCCCTGGTTTGTATGTTCTCTCTAAAATAGCATCTACCAGTGCTGCTGTCCAGCACAGACTGACCCTTCGTTTGACTTGTAGTATGATACCTGTATCCTCACATTGCACAGTCTGAACCAAACAAGAAGTAGGAATAAATCGAAAATTCCCTGAAAATGTGAGTGAATTCTTGATCTCAAACAGTGTTAATGCAGATGCACTCTGTGATTTCCACTGAGAGACCATAGGGAGATGACATTCTGGCTCTTATCTTAGTTCCTGACTCTCATGGCTTAGCCCACAGCAGCTAACAGAGTTCCCAGGCAAGAGTGATGTGTTAATTTTTTTCCCACTTCTGCCACCTCAGCTTGGAGTCTACGTAATATTAGTCAAATTCTTGGATAGTCCAGAGGCTCAGCTAACAAATTTTGTTCACATGCAAAAAGCAGTTTTTTAAAGGTGGAAGAAGCCCAGGTTTGGCTCGTTTTTCCTCAAGGAGGGCAGAAGGCAACCTTTTGTCCTAAAGAACACTTCTGAGGACATTAAAATTCCAGCACGAGGCAGTAATGAAGCTTATCATACAAAAAAGGATGCCACTTGTTTCTTGGGTTTGTTGGGGTTTGTATGTTGGGATTTTTTTTTAAGGCAAAGCAGTATCTTTAATTTCATTGTAAATGAATGATGTGTGTTGGCCCATGTCATGGTTTGACACTGGCCAAACACCAGGCACCCAAAAAAGCTGTTTGCTGATCTTCTCTTGCTCTCAGCTGGGCAGAGGAGAGGAAAAAAAATTAATGAAGGGCTCAAGAGTTGAGATGAGGACTAAGGGCAAAACAGGTTAAAATTTAAAGGTATAAAGTAAATTTATTATTAACAGAGTCAGAGGAGGATAATGAGAAGTAAAATAATTCTTTAAACCAACATTTTTCCCTCTAGCCCCTCCCTCTTTCCCACCAACAGCGCAGAGAGGCAGGGTGTGGGGGTTTTGGTCAGATTGTCACTTGAGATTTTTTTCTGTTTTTTCAGGGAAAAGAGTCTTTCCTCTGCTATGCCCTGGGGTCCCTCCCATGGGCAAACAGTCTTTTTGAAACTGCTGTGGCGTGAGTCACTCGTCCACAGGGTGCAGTCCTCTGAGGATAGGCTGCTATAGTTTGGAAGCAGGGGCCCTCTCTCTCCATTTGGGTCTCCCACTGGATCAGTTTTCCTCAGCATCCACCTGCTCCAGTGTACTTCTCTCATGGTCTATGAGCAGATCTCCGCATCCCCCATGGACCTCAATGGCTGCCGGGGGACAGCCTGCTTTACCATAGGCCTCACCATGGCCTGCAGAGGAATCTCAGCTCTGCCTCTTGGAGCACCTCCTCCCCTTCTTTTTCCACTGACCGGGATGCTCACATGTCCTCATTTCATCCTCTTCTCTGACTAGGAGAAAAACTGCTGCTTGTAGTACCATTGCAAACAAGCTCCACCAATTCAGAAATTCTTGCAGGACCCTACAGCGCTCAGTGGTTGATCTTGTCTAGGTTCTGCACTGGGGAGTTGCTTGCCATGTTTTCGCCACCAGCTAGGTGGCCCCACAGCCACCGAGGGGGCCGTGGTGGCTGCCGCAGCACTGGTGCTATTGAGTGCCTGTCCTCATGCGGGGCACCAGGAAGGAGAAGCCGCCATCACTGCCCTTCTGCTTGCAGCACAGTTGGCTTGGGGTGGCCAAGCAGACAAGGCTCGCTGCAGGCTGCACCCAGATGGCGATGGCTGCAGTGCCCAGATGGCAATGGCACTGTGCTGGGATGGCCCCCATGGCAGCACCTTGTCACCCCTGGAAAAAGCTGCCTGTGTGCTATTTTGATTTTCTTCTTAAATATCTCAGAGGTATTACCAGCCTGTCTAATTGGGCCTGCAGCATGTTCATCTTCAGAGCCACCAGAGAGATTGGCTTTGTCAGATGTGGTGGAAGCTTCAAGCAGCTTCTCACAGAAGCCCTTTCTGGCTGTCTCCCACTACCAAAAAAACAGGCTATGCCAAATCAACACAGCCAGCCTGAGGCAACCCCCTGAACTGTGAAGATTTGCACTGCATGATTAATACCTGGGCAAGGCCACAAAGGCTGGAAGCGGTGGCTTGACGTGGAGAGTGTCAAGCAAACTCAGCCCAGGATCTGAACATGACAGCTGCAGTGGAGCGCTGTGTCACAGAATCATAGTCACAGAACAGGTACAGTTGGAATGGACCATGGTGGGTCATCTAGTCCAACCTCCCTGCTCAAGCAGGGCTGTCCTAGAGCACATGGCACAGGATTGTGTCCAGAGTTCTGGAGTATCTCCAATGAAGCATCCTCTACAACCTCTCTGGACAACTTCTTCAAGCATGTGGTCACCCACACAGCAAAGAAGTTCTTCCTCATGTTCAGGTGGAACTTCTGTGCATCAGTTTCTGCCCACTGCCCGGCATCCTAGTGCTTGGCACTACTGAGAGGAGGCCAGCTCCATCTCTTTGGCACATCCACACGCCCCTCCTTTTAGACATTTATACACATCAATGATGTCCTCTCTCAGTAGTCTCTTCTTGAGACTGAACAGGCCCAACTCCCTCAGCCTTTCCTCCTAAGGATGATACTCCAGTTCCCCAAACACCCTCACTGCTCTGCACTCCTCGAGTGCTCACAGATTTTGGTTACCTGCAAACCAAAACTACCCTGAACCCGCCTGGGGCTCAGAGGTGCCCGCAGAGGCAGAACCATGTTCCCACGTTAAAACAAAAAGTGTGGGGTTTTCCTCACAAAACCCGCATTCCCCCCGAGCACCCGCACCCTGGGCCGCTAACGCGGAGTTGACACAGGGCCCGCAGCCGCCGGTGCCCGTCGGTGGCCGGGGAGCCCTCGGCGGGGCGGGGAGGGGCAGGGCCGGGGACGCGCTGCCTCCCGCCGCCGCCGTTCACTTCCTGGTTCCTCCCGGCGGCCGCTCCACCTCCGCGCTAGGGGCGGGCGGCCGGGCGGCGGAAGGGGGGGGGTGCGGTGCCGAGCCGTGCCGTGCCGTGCCGCTGCCGGCGCGGGGGCGGCGGGGCGCGCCGGACCCGCGGCGGCGGCGGCGGCCACTGGGGTAGGTGGGTGCGACTGACAGCGCGGGGCGGGGGGTGCTGGGGGGCGAGCAGGTGTGTACGCTGGCGGAGCGGGAACTGGGAGCAGAGAGCTGGGAACCGGGAGCGGGCCGCCGGTGGATGCCATCCCGCCGCCGCCTGCGCCGCTCCGCCAGCCGCCCCCGGCCCCGCCGCTGTCCCCGATGTCCCCGGCCCGCGCGGCCCCTCGGCGGTGCGGGGGCCCGGCGGCGGCGCGGCCGCCCGAGGGCGGCGCGGGGCTCCACATCCCTCGGCGGGGCCCCCGGGCCGGGCCGGGCGGCGGGTCGTGTCCCGCAGCGGCGTCCCCAGGACCTGTGGGCATCGGTCCGGAAACGGGAGGAGGGCTCCCGCTCTCACCTCGCCGCCTTCCAGCGCTGGGCTTTAAATACTGGGAAGCTGAACACGTTAAATGATAGCGTGCTAAATACGTGGTTTAGGTCTGCTCCGCGGCCTTTCGGAGCAGCGTCGAGTCCACTAGGCAGGAAATTTAAAGTCGGAGCCTCCAGCGATTTCGTCGTGGTCCTGTGACCTGTCAGTGGATTGCAGTGGTCCTGTAATTTGCTGATGCGTTGCGGCGATGGGACGTGCCCGCCAGCGAGCAGCTGGACAGCGAGTGGAGCTGACCCTGTCGCTTCCGAGGTGGCCCTGGTCACCGGGCGTGTGGCAGGATCTGGCAACATCGGCCAGATTCCCCCCGGCATCGGGAATAATCCGTGGGAAACCATGGCTCTGTGCTGTGGTGGGTTTAGTTGAAATGGATGGCAAGTTTTACGTGGCAGTAGCAAGCGATCCGGACTGGTTTAGAACGGCAGCTTCTAAGTGTTACTGGAGTAGTTCTGTAAGGTAAATTTTTAAGAAGCAAGAGTTCACACTGCTCGTTAGGAAATAGTCTTCAAGAAAACAATCAAGAAAACAGGCCTTGAGAAGGAGGGGGCAGCAGTCTGTTGCCTGATGGGCTCTCCACTTGGTGTGTACTATTGAGGGATGTGAGATGGACAGCAAAGGTCGTTCAGATCTCTTTTCCTTGATCTCGACTCAGAAAAGATAAACTGTGTTTTTCAGCATGAGAGAGAGCGACAGTATGCCAGACTCCTGGCACAGCAAAGGCGTATGTGGAATGTCAGATCTGTAGGAAAGGAGCTCAAATTTGGATGGTTGTTCTGATACGGTGGAATCACAGAGAGGGGAGGGACCGGTGACTTACAGTGAGTGACTGCATTGGGTGTCTTGTGGTGTACATAGCAAGGCATTAGTGAGGACCATGTTTTCCTTTGCTTAATGAAAGCAACAAATAAGTCTAAGCGTAGCATTACAGGCATTTCAGTGGTAAGTGTCATCATAAGGGGAGCCACGCCATTCTTACGCCTTTTAAAAATGCAGCCCCATGTGCAATAAAGATCTGCTCCCTCAAAGTCTATGACTCTGTCAGCATAGCTCTTGGTGCTGCCTCACTGATGCAATAGTGTTTGTCACACCAGAGGGACCTGCTGCTGGTAGTAAGTTGTGTCTGACTGAATGTTCATTGAGATTTAGAAGGTGTGGCCCAGAAACTCTTGTGTGTTTATAGGTTTATGAAAGGACAAATATCAGGTCTGCCTAAAACCCAAAATATTTGTTGTGACATCTAGGACCTTTAGCAGTAACATCTATTAGGTATTCTCATGTATGTTTCTGCTTCCTTTTAATTTTCATTTAAAGTGATGTAGTTACAGACAAGGGTGTCTATTTCAGTGTGAAATTGCTTGTTTGGTTGTGGACAAAAGTACACAAATGTAATTTAATCCAAATAATGGGAGCAGGGTGCAAGAAGATGAATGCTTAATTCCTCAGCAGATGAAGGTTTGCTGTGCCGAAGTAGTTATGTGTTTTTTGTGGGCAGTTTTCCTTTGCATCAGCAAAGGGGAGCAGCTGACAGTCTTCATCAGTATGTGTGTATCCTGGGCAGCAGTAGCTCAGCTTTGGTGAAACTCTTTTTCTTACCTAAAATGAATTTACTTTTCTCAATGGGTGGATTGCTGTGCACCTCCAGCAGAACAGGAGCTATCAGTGTTGCATAGTCCACGCAGTTTAAAATTGTGTGTTGCATTATTTCAGAGAGACTTGCTCAGGGAGCTGGTTTTACTGTGCAAACATTTCCCATAGAGCTGTAACAGGGCATCTCTTCTGTAGAGGAGACTAGATGGGCACCCACAGTGGTGTCAGTCTGAAAATGGACTGGCTGTGGCTCGGCCAGTCTCTGCAGATGTTAGTTGGCTGAGCTTATGCTTTGCTCTGCAGTGTAGACATGACCTTTTTCTTAGGGCGGTATTCGGGAATATAGTTTTTTTGCCTTCTTGAGGGAAGACAGCAGATAATGTAAAATATGACACGACAGAATAGCTTCTTGTCAGTTTTTATTTCCCCTGTCCTGTGCTTAGCTGGTTGATGCAAACTAAATGTGACCGATTATACCTGGAATATCATATTTAACCTGTGCATGTAACTGATCTGAAGCTTTAGGTTTTATTCAAGAAAACGAGAAGTTAAAGCTTTCCTAATTGAAGCTGTGTGTTTCCTGGGTTGTACAGGCAATAAGGAAAGAAGATAGCCCTTGCCTGGAACTGCAGTGCAGCAAGCCTGCCAGTAACACTTCACACATTGTCCTTTTGAGAGGGAGTCCAAAAACATGAGCCAGCTTGTCTGTGGGGTGTGGGTGCCAAAGACCTCCCCATATGGCAGCAGTTCCCTGCTAGTGAGGTGCAAGGTGTTAGAGGCAAGGTGCAGCTAGGGGCTGGCTCACTGCACGGGAGCGCTGGCATGTTGACTCCTGTTGCCTGCTCCTGGCTGTGCCCCCAGCCTGGGGGCTGCTTGGGAGTGCTTCTGGAGACTGGAGTGAGAGATCTGTCTAAGCTTATAGCCTTATACCTCTTTGCACCAAGTTACAAGGTGGCCATGCAGAACTCGTGCTGTTATGGAAGAAGAGGCAGGAGTGCAAGAGGAAGGGAAAAAAGAGAGAGAGGATAGGCATGGGAAAGTAAAGAAGGGAAGGGAAAGGGTACAGCAGCAGAGCTCAGCTAGAAAAACGCTGGGAAACATTATTCCAGGAGCAAGTAAAACAGCAAATAAAAAAAGGAGACAGAAGACTCACTGTTAAGATCCTTCAACAACAGAGGAATGTTGAGTGAGAGGAAATGCAAGGCCTTTGTTGATGTTCCTGCTCCTGGGCTGGTGGTGGATGATGTGTTTGTCATGTTCAGCCGTGAGTTTTGCAATAATGCAGAACTGACAGGGGTGACCAATCTTAAGTGTGGTGCAGCATACAGAAGTTAAAACAAGTGGGCTGAAGCTGAAACAGTGTGAGTGAGCAAAGGTACTGTAAAATACTGTGCTCTTGAAAAAAAAAAAAAAAAAAGGTAAAAAAAGACATATACAGGCTTAGTTGGAAGGCAGTAGTTCCATACCATAGATTACAGAGAGGACTGTAACAGATGATAAAGGTAGGTAATGTGATACACATCTTTGTTCTTTGCAGTGGCCACTTGAATTACAGATGTCCAATACAGCACGGAATAGATAAGGAAGATATTATATATGGTAGCTGGTCTTGTCTTGAACTCTTTGTATTTCAAAATAAAAATTAAAGTTTACGCACAGAAATTATTTTTTATGGCAGCAAGGATCCCTTCTGCTTGCCAGCGCTAAAGTGAGCAAAACAAGAAATGCTTAGTTTGCCAACTCAGATGTTCTTTGCTGTTTCAAAAGCTTTAACCTACAGCAACTTTGTAGCTGCAGGTTTTTCCAGTTCTCTAAGTAGCAGCATATGTTTCTTCTAATTGTGATTTTAACTTTGCAGGATAGAGGTGATAATTTTTTGGTCCCTGTGTTTTTAATGTGCTATTTTAATGTATGCCCTGTATCTGTGGTTGGCTTAGGGATCTGCTTAGGTGTAGTATGTAGATTTGAAGTCTAAATGCCTTACAGCCTTTCTGCCTACATCTTTACCTACCCATAAGTGGCAAGGCAGAATAATAAACTATAGTCAGGGGAATAAAATCAGAGAGTGACTTGTTCACGCTTGTGAAGAGGGGGCTGTAGCAAAAGCGGGTGAGAGCCAAATCCTGCAATAGACCATCTTGAGTGAAAATGTATGTCTGGTAGTTAAAGTGCTCTTTCTGCCTTGAAAGATAGTAGTTAGAATTTTTTTTTTTTAGACTAGAGGTGTTCTGCCAGCTTCTTATAATGATTAAAACTTTAAAGCTGCAGCTCTTTCCTGTTCCACAAAACATTCCTTATGCCATGAAAGTTGTGTGGTTTTTAAAATTGAAACTAAATATAATACCAGTTCTATAGATAAGCCTTCCCCTTTAGGTTTTGTCTTTCTTAAAAATAAAAAGTTGATAAAGGACAAACTGAGAATTTACATTCCCCTAATCCAGTGGCTTGCTGTTTTAAGTCCTGAGTCAGCATGTATATTGCAAAGCTGTCTAGAAGACCAGGACAGGTTCTCCTGTTTTGTCTCTCATGAGGCTGTGCATTGAGGATAACTGCAATGCTGTGGGAGAGCATGACATCGCCATCTGTTATTTTCTGTTTCCTGCTGCAATCTCTCCTGCACAATTGTTCTTTCCTGCCAGTGCTTAACTTTAGATAGGTGGCAATGCAAAAAGGATGGTATGTGCAGGATTAATATCGCTCTTTTGACATGGGTTAAGTAGCTTGTGTGTATTTGTTCTATTGGGAAACTGTGAGATTGAGGTGAAAGAATTTCTCTGATGGCCTTGCAGCTCTGATAGTGAAAAACTTATCAATGGTTCATTACTTAATGACAGTTTTATAAAGTACCTTCTATCACTGATGAAAGACTTATACGATCACTGGCTTTGTGAACAGACCAGTTCAGATCCAAGTCTGACCTCAGTCTTGGTGCCCTTGTGATTTGTGCCCTGTTTCTACATGTTGCCCCAATTTTGTCACTCATCCATAGTGGTCCAGTGTTTTTGTACCT